TGGTGGTGGGGTTGGATTGCAGATGGCGGAAGTGTCGGAAGGTGATGAACATTGAGATCCTTCAGAAGCGTTTCTCCCTGCAACTCCTGAAACACACACTCGCAGCAATGCGCAGGCATCTCCTGGCACTACAATCAAGCCTACCCCAGCTCAGAGCCTCCCTCTCCCAGGCCTGCAAAGACCTCTCCTGTTTTTCATTCTTTGTAGGATCCACAATCTGAACTCACAATTCTATTCAGCTTTATTGGAAACAAAAACCGTAAGTACAGTAAACTTACTGGTGCCTACCACCCAAAACGGGCTTCCTCCACCTCCCAAATCCCCAACCCTACCCAGGACCTTCCCCACAATGTGCCCGCCACCATTGGCCATGTGGCCACTGTCGGAGAACCCACGGATGACGTCACATCCTCCGCCGCCGGGCACACCACTTCAGGGACAGCTAATGCCATCGACACCGCTGCTGATGCCACCGCCTCCATTTCCAAGGCCAACACCATAGACACTGAGGACGCACCTACCGTCACCGCTGCTGCCGCCTCCTACCCCGCTCCACCCACCGCCGACGCAGCTTCGCCCACTGCCGACGCTGATGCAACTCCGCCCACCGCCAACGCCGATGCAACTCCACCCACCCCCAATGCCGACACAACTCCGCCCACCACCGACGCCGATGCAACTCTGCTCACAACCGCCGACGCAACTCCACCCACAGACGATGCCGCACGGCCCACCACTGACGCCGACATCTCTCCGCCCACTGCCTCCACAGCCAGCAGCTCCAGAGGAGACAGTAGCACCCAGCCCTGCCAAGTCTTCACCATCCCCCTAGACGTCCCCTTCACTGAGGACGAATGGACAATCCTCAGTAAAGGGCTCACCTTTGTCCCCCTCCACCCACACATCAACGAATACCAGTCACGTTTAGACATTGAGCAGTTTTTCTGCCACCTCTGCCTCCACGCTTACTTCTTCAACCGTGAACCTAACCCTCCCTTTACTGACTACTTCTCCCACCTCCAACACACCCCCTCCTCCTGGACACCACCCCAAGGCCTCCTACCCTCCCTCGACCTCTTCATTTCCAACTGCCATCGAGACATCAATCGCCTCAACCTCTCCACCCCTCTCACCCACTCCAACCTCTCCCCCGCCGAACGTGCAGCCCTCCGCTCCCTCCGCTCCAATCCCAACCTCACTATAAAACCCGCGGACAAGGGAGGCGCAGTTGTAGTATGGCGCACTGACCTCTACATCGCCGAGGCCAGGCGCCAACTCTCCGACACCTCCTCCTACCGCCCCCTTGATCATGACCCCACCCCCAACCACCAAACCATCATCTCCCAAACCATCCACAACCTCTTCACCTCAGGTGACCTTCCACCCACAGCCTCCAACCTCATCGTTCCCCAACCCCGCACTGCCCACTTCTATCTCCTTCCCAAAATGCACAAACCTGAATGCCCTGGTCGACCCATTGTCTCTGCCTGCTCCTGCCCCACCGAACTGATCTCCAACTATCTAGACTCCATTTTCTCCCCCTTGGTCCAGGAACTCCCTACCTACGTCCGTGACACCACCCACACCCTCCACCTCCTTCAGAACTTCCAATTCCCCGGTCCCCAACACCTCATCTTTACCACGGACGTCCAGTCCCTATACATCTGCATTCCCCATGCAGATGGCCTAAAGGCCCTTCGCTTCTTCCTGTCCCACAGGCCCAACCAGTCCCCCTCCACTGACACCCTCATCCGCTTAGCCGAACTCGTCCTCACCCTCAACAACTTCTCTTTCAATTCCTCCCACTTCCTACAGACAAAGGGGGTGGCCATGGGTACCCGCATGGGCCCAAGCTATGCCTGCCTCTTTGTAGGTTACGTGGAACAATCCCTCTTCCGTACCTACACTGGCCCTAAACCCCACCTCTTCCTCCGTTACATTGATGACTGTATCGGCGCTGCCTCGTGCTCCCACGAGGAGCTCGAACAGTTTATCCACTTCACCAACACCTTCCACCCCAACCTTAAGTTCACCTGGACCATCTCCAATACCTCTCTCTCCTTCTTGGACCTCTCCGTTTCCATCTCTGGCAATCACCTAGAAACCGATATCCATTTCAAGCCCACCGACTCCCACAGCTACCTAGAATACACCTCCTCCCACCCACCTTCCTGCAAAAATGCCATCCCCTATTCCCAATTCCTTTGCCTCCGCCGCATCTGCTCCCAGGATGAGGCATTCCACTCCCGTACATCTCAGATGTCCTCATTTTTCAAGGACTGCAAATTCCCCTCCTCAGTGGTCGAGAACTCCCTCGATCATGTCTCTCGCTTTTCCCGCAACTCATCCCTCACAGCCCCTCCCCGCAATAACAACCAAAACAGAATCTCCCTCGTCCTCACGTACCACCCCACCAACCTTCGGTTCCAACGCATCATCCTCTGACACTTCCGCCATTTGCAATCCGACCCCACCACCAAAGATATTTTTCCCTCCCCACCCTTATCTGCTTTCCGGAGGGACCACTCTCTCCGGGACTCCCTTGTCCGCTCCACACTCCCCTCCAGCCCCACCACACCCGGCACTTTTCCCTGCAACCGCAGGAATTGCTACACCTGCCCCTACACCTCCTCCCTCAACCCCATCCCAGGCCCCAAGAAGACTTTCCACATCAAGCAGATGTTCACCTGCACATCTGCTAATTTGGTATACTGCATCTGCTGTTCCCGTTGTGGCCTCCTCTACATCGGTGAAACCAAATGGAGACTTGGGGACCACTTTGCCGACACCTACACTCGGTTCGCACTAAACAACTGCACCTCCCAGTCGGGAACCATTTCAACTCCCCCTCCCATTCCTCATGCAACATGTCCATCCTGGGCCTCCTGCAGTGCCACAACGATGCTACCCAAAGTTTGCAGGAACAGCAACTCATATTCTGCTTGGGAAGCCTGCCGCCCAATGGTATCAATGTGGACTTCACAAGTTTCAAAATCTCCCCTTCCCCTACCGCATCCCAAAACCAGCCCAGCTCATCCCCGCCTCCCTAATCTGTCCTTCCTCCCATCCCAAGCCCCACCCCCATCTCCTACCTACTAACCTCATCCCGCCCCCTTGCCCCGTCCGTCCTCCCTGGACTGGCCTATCTCCTCCCTACCTCCCCACCTACACTCACCTCTACTGGCTCCATCCCCGCCTCTTTGACGTGTCTGTCTCCTCTCCACCTATCTTCTCCTCTATCCATCTTCTATCCGCCTCCCCCTCTCTCCCTATTTATTTCCGAACCCCCTTCCCCTCTCCCATTTCTGAAGAAGGGTCTCGGCCCGAAACGTCAGCCTTCTTGCTCCTCTGATGCTGCTTGGCCTGCTGTGTTCATCCAGCTCTACACCTTGTTACCTCTATATTCAGTAGTGGTTTGGTTACTTATGTTTTTCCATGTATGACCAATAAAGAATTTCCTAACTTCCATAACCTCATTCCCATATTTCTTTTATATTATTTCTTTGTTAACATGATATGGTAAAGTCAGCATTTATTGTCCATCTCAAATCGCCTGTGAAAAGTTGGTAATGAGTCAGAAACAATCTACCTAAATGCAAGTAAATGACTCCCTGGAACATTTCCGCAGGCAGTTAAGAGTCAATCACTTTTCTGTGGTTTTGCAGTCACTAAAAGGCCAGATTGTATATGAACATTAGGCTTCCTTCCTTAAAAGGGCATTAATGAACCAAGTGGGTTTAGATGACAGTCCAGTGATTCATGATCACTGTTATTGCCACTGCTTTTCATAAGTTCCAGATTTCTTTAATTAAGTAGATTTGAATTCTCCAACTTCTGTGATATTCTGTAAACTCATGTCTCCAGCCCGGCAATGGAACCATTACTTTATTGAAAAGAATTTAATTTTAAACATACAATTATACACTTGGAACCTCTCAGAACTTCATTTGAAAATAGATTATTTTAGTGGTCAATTTAAGACTGAAGAAATAATAGAATTTGAATTCAAAGTATTTGAAATTCCAGTAACAGGCCCATATCATTGCATGTTGTAAATTCTGATATCACATCATTTTAGAAAGTTTAAGTTTCTTTCTAAGTATGGAAGTATACCAAAGAGGAGCTGTACGATAACCATCCAACCGTCCTGTACCTGAGTCACCAGCTGAGCTCACTGCCTTCTTGAATGCAGTCCCATCTTCAGCAGAGGCACTTATATTCTGAGGCCAGCCTTTCAAAAATTCACCCATATCATTGACAGCCTGCAGAACCATTTTAGCAGTGTCCTTTGCTTCTTCTGCAATTAGTTTTGATTGGTTCAACCGGTTCCTATTACCTGAAATATTTACATGTGTTAAGAATTGCATTAATATCTACAGATTTTCCATCATAATGGAACTTAGATAGATCCTTGACAAGAGTTGCACTTACTCTTGCCTCAAACATGTATCCTGTGGTCTGTTCGCTCTGCTCTCAGAGACATAATCAAATAGAAATTACAATCCACTCATTAATACCAACCATGAAAAGTGAGTTAATTGAATTCTGTTTCTTGATATAATTAAATTATATTTCAAAATTACTGATGCCTATTTAGTTCTGGAATAACCTTCCATAAACCTAATATCTTGATTAGTTTTTATTTATATTTTATTCATCAAACGTAAATCTAATCAAATGTTGTCATTAGCAGTGACATTCGTAGATACTGAGTAAGAAAACTGTCAAAATTGGGAATTGGATAATAAAAACCAAGAAACAGAAGTAGGGTTAAGCCTCCCAATCTTTTGATAAGGTGATGGCTGATCTGACTGCAATCAAACCTTCACTTTTCTGCCTGCCTTCCTTAATCCTTGACTCTCTTGTTGATTAAAAATATGTCTAACGTAATCTTGAATATATTCTGCTCTGTGGGGCAGAGATTTCCAAAGATTAATGGCCTTCAGAGAAAAAAAAAATCTCCTCATCACGATCTCAAACAGAATAGCTCTTACTTTCAGTCTCTAGTTCTAGGTTCCCCATAAGACGAAATATCATTTCAGCATCTACCCTATCAAACCTACACAGATTGTGATATGTTTTAGTAAGACCACCTTTTATTTTCCTCAAGTAAATGCCAAACCTGTTTAGCTTTTCATAAGACTTCATTCCAGAAATCAGCCTAGTGAGCAGTTAGTCTGTAGTTTTTGTGCCATTACTAAATTTGGGTTCAAGGCAGGCTGGACAAGGAGAATGCAAAGTCAAGAAATCTCTTCAAACTTAGGCTTTGAACAATTTCTAATGCAAGGGTAGCCATCCTTAAGTGGCAAAACCATAACCACATACCCACAAATGCCCTGTGAAGACTTCTCTACTCCATCCTGCTTGCAATAAAGTCCCATTAATGTGAGGGTGAGGCTAAATGGTATGTTAAAAATTGGAGTTTTGAAGATTTTTTTTAATATTGGCAGGTAATAGATAAGACAGAGGGAATTAGAGAAATCTGAGAGAATAGGACTAAAGTAAATAAACAATTCATCATCAGTGGAGCAAATGGAACCAGTCAGTTTCCTGGTGTTACTGTAGTAGAAGCAGAAGCATATGCATTGGAATAAAACAGAGGTCAATGACAATAAAGGAAGTTGAGAAATAAAGTTGAGACAACAGAGGCATTAAAATAATATTCTTAAATCATATGAATTCATCCAGAAAAATTATTTCATCCTTGAAGGAATTGTATATTATAAGAAAAAAAGGTGTGCCAAATACTAACTGACTTACTCTGTCTTTGACCTGTGGTTTTATTTCATTCTTTAGGCACTGGTTCAATATCAAAAATACAATAATGAAATGGGGAGATAGGAACTCTTAGTCTGATAGTGAGACCATCTGAAAGAGATTGTTTGTCCCAGTGAAGATGGCTATCAGTTGAAGTTAAAAGTAACTATTGCAAAACTTTATCAAAATGATACACGTTGTGTAAGGGCTTTAGGACCCTGGAGCTACCTTATGATGATGTAATGTGCTACTTCCCACATAGCATAAGAAAGTGTGAAAAGTGTGAAGTAGATTGAGTTAGATCTCAAGAGAGTAGAGCACATAGATAACAGTCTCCTAATAATGGAACAATAGGATCAGGGCCCAGATTGTCTCAGATTACTTTGTATTGTTGTTTGTAGTGCAATATGTAGAATTCTACAGAAGTACAAGTTTGTAGAGATTTCTTGACTTTGCATTCCCCTGACCAGCCTATCTTGAACCCAAACTTGGCCATGGCACAAAAACTACAGACAAAAGAATACCAACTGTTGCTGAGACACATCACGTACCGAACAGTATCAACACAGAAGATTCTGACCTGGCTTCACAATCTGAGCCCAGCCACAGTCAATCTCCCTAATCCTAACTGTTTTGAAAGATTAAAGTTGCAAGATGAACGAAAATATTGTTGTACCTTAATGAAAATTTGCAGAAGTACTTACTTGGCTCAATCAATGCCAACTGGTTTACAGCATTTTGTAAACGGTTTACTGTATAATTTTTCTTGCCAATTACTGCATCCACATGGCGCCTGGTATCCTGAAAAGCAGTCTCATGATCTGAAGGAAATTAGCAAAACAGACTAAGGTGACATCAAATTCACAGTGGAACGTAAAGTTAACAAAGAGGCATATTAAAGTAAATCAATTCACAGCACATATTGAAGTGAATAAATATAATCTAATCACTATTATGGAGACATGGTTGCAGGGTAAAAAGAATTGGGCTCTGAATATTAAGGGGTATATGACAGTAAGATGAGTAGGAAGCTATGTAAAGGCAGAGGGATTGCATTCCTAATCAATGATGATATTGGTGCAAAAATTAGAGATGACCTTATTTCAAGAGATCAGGATGTAGGGTCAGTCTGGGTGGAGTTGAAAAAAGGCAGGAGAAAGAAGTTAAAAATCGAAAGAACTGCAGATGCTGTAAATCAGGAACAAAAACAGAAATTGCTGGAAAAGCTCAGCAGGTCTAGCAGCATCTGTGAAGAAAAAATCAGAGGTAACGTTTCGGGCCTGGTGACCCTTCCTCAGAACGGAAAGAAGTTACTAATGGGAGTGATGCACAGACTTCCAAATAGTGACATTAAGGGTAAATATAATGTAGAAAGAAGAAATATTGGGTGTTTGAGATAAAGGGACTGCAACTATCATCGGGGACTTCAAACTATATATAAACTTGAAAAGTCAGATTGGTATTACAGGTCTTGATGAGGGGTTTTTTGAATGCTTTCGAGATAGCTTCTTATAGTAGCACATTCTAAAACAAACCAGAGAGCAAAGTATACTTGGCTTGGTAATGTGTAATGTTACAGGGTTAATTAATAACCTTAAAAGTTAAAAAAAAAGCACTTCTATATAGCAATAATCATAAAATTATTGAATGTTACATCAAGTTTGAAAGATAGACAAGTGGGTCTAAGACTAGGATTTTAAACTTAAATGAGGGCACCTGTGGGCATGAAAGCTGGGCTAGATACTGGGAATGAATGATTTAAATGCTGTCTAACCAGCACTGCTGACTCACTAACTGAAAAACTCATGCAGACATTGCAAATGAAACATGATGGTGGTATTCTTTTAATAGCTGATTAATGATAGCTTTGGAGAAGAATGCACAAGCCATGTATTCTTTTCCAGTAACTGACTGAGGAGCAGGGAGGGCAATCAATTTGAAATATACCGCAGGACTTTTAAATTCACTGAGCTCGCTGAAGTTGAACATAATACAGCAGAAGCGCACTGATTCAAATCAAATCTTTGTGAAGACTGCATTCCCAACTAAGGCAAGTAGATCATGCATTCTCACAAATCGATTTTATCAAAGAGCTGCATCAACTATTCAGGTTCAACAGACAAATCAAAGTTTAAATTAATATTGACTAGAGCCACAAGCAATTCATTAGATTTTACTCGCAGAGATAATTATGGTTCAGGCACATGTCTTGGCAAATTCAAACTCAATGTTGTTGAAGATCTTTTCTCAATCTATTTTTTGCATAGCATACTTACATTCTAAGTGGATTTTTTTTTGTCTAAATACAAATGTAAACTTGAATCAAAGTTTTTGAACATATAGCTTTCAGACTTAAATCCTGTGCCCAAAATAATCAACAGATGAAACATAGAACGCAGATGCAGAAGTAATGAAATTTAGGGTTTTATAGCTTCTACAAGATCTGGTTGTATAATTTTCTTCTGCCCATTCAAGGAAGAGCACCTATTTCAGAAAAGGCTTGAAATGGGGAAAGTTAAATCCTCTTCAAGGAGTTCTCGTTTGTCTCCAGGCTGGAACCAGCTGGGCTGCTGTGCCAAGTGAAGGCAGGTACCTTGGCAGAAGGGGCTTCACTTTGTGTGTGAACAACTTATATCAGAACTCATGGCACTCATACTTGAAGTGTGCACCTAATGATGGAGATGGATTTTTTTTGATTTGCATATTTTAAGATAGTAAATTTACTAATCCCTTACAAGCCACAAGCCTTAAATATTGTCAAAGCACATTGTGTATTATTGAAATAGTCTGCTGAAGGATGCAGTGGTGGACTTTAATCCTCCAGAATAGACATGAGTAGGCTGTGAATAGAGGATGTCAAAATTTCCAAACAGTGAAACTAGACGTGAAGCTGTCTTTCACACATTCACTTCCAGTTTTAATGCAGATGGGTTGAGTGGCAGCCAATTAACCCACTCTTGAAAGGTCATTCAGCTATTTAAATATGTTAATAAGGCAATGTGACTAGAATAACTGCACAGAGGCCAGTATCCTGTCACCAAGTCACCCTTTATTTACATGTGCACACTACACTGGGTCTGGCCAGCCAGCTCGGAGTCAGTCCCCTGAACTGAGGAGATTCTAAATCCCATGTTTATATTGGTCAGCCAGGGCTTCTTGATTGGCTCAGTCTAACAACCCCTATCAAGCACCTCCTAGTCAACAAGATCCATTTGGTTCCAGTCACGACAGTGACTCAAATTTTGGGAGACATTTAGATTCAATATCTGCCAGAAGGGTTTCCAGGAAACTTGATGTTTTATCTCTTACTTTAAGCCAGAAGTGGAGAACCACTGCCGAATTCTGAGATGCAGAGGGATGTAGGTGTTTGAATACATGAGTCACAAAAGCTTAGTACAGCTGTAAAATAGTACCACAGTAATATACTGAGATAGTTAATGGAATGCTTTCCTTTACTAAAAATGAATTAATGCTTAAACAGGGCATTGGTGAAACTAAATCTCAAACACAGTGAGCAGTTTTGGGCTCCTTATTCAGGAAAGGATTTAAATGTATTGGTGGTGATTCAGAGGAGTTTTACCAGATTGATATCTGGAAAGAGTGGATTGTTTTATCATGAGGAAAGGTTGGACTGGTTGAACTTGTTTTCATTAGAATTTAGAAGAATGAGGGTGACTTGATTGAATAACATAGGGTCCTTAATGATCTTGACACAGGAATATGGAAATTATGTTTCCTTTTGTGCATCAGTCCACACCTGGGGGTCACTGTTTTAACATTACGGGTTATCCTTTTTGGACAGGGATTCAGTGAACTTTTCTCTCTCAGAAGGTTGTGTGATTTTGGAATTCTTTGCCTCAGAAGATGGTGGAGGTGGAATCATTGAATATTTTTAAGGTGAAGGCGATTAGGCTTTTGTTAGGCAACAGAATCAAGCATTATCTGGAATAGATGGGAATGTGGAATTCAAAACATAACATGATCATATTGAATGGCAGAGCAGGCACAAGGGGCTGAATGGCCTACCCCTGCACCTAATTCATGTGTTTCTATGTTTGTATGCTACCTGCACATTGAGCTACAGTCTGGGGTATCTCTGGGCTGTAGCTGTCTGCACATAAACTGTCCCTGAGGCCATTTGCTCCCTATCTATAAGTAAAGTCTTCACTCCTTAAGGATTGTAACACTCCTCCATTTATATCTGTGCACAATGAGTTCTTAAATACTACTGCCCCGGGTAGTCTCTTCAAATACTCATTCTAGACTGGTGTTTTCTTTTCTACTGACATAATTTGTTCTTTTACATCATCATGATTTTACAAAAGTTTCATTATACTACATTGAGCAACTGAAAAAGCTTTCAATAACTCTTATTGACAACCTGCTCTTCAGCGTGTCTGCTAGTCAGGAAATGTAAAGTAACAATTCAAGTTTTGTCATTAAATTCAACTGGGCATTCACACAACCACATCTACTGGCTGCTACAAGCCGATATCCCACCTCAATGCAAGTATTGGGACCCTGTGGTCTGTGCGATAACTCTTGCAGGACAATTAGGCTACCTAATTAATAAAGTAAGACAGCTTCTCAATGCACTTCAGATTTATATTACTTCAACGGTGCAGTTTTCTTCAGATTCAAAGTTGTCTGAAATAAGGGTATTCCCTTCGATATCTGAATTAACAAACTGCAAAGTTTCAATGTAGGCAGGGGCGAGGTAGCTCTCATACCCAAAGACTTTGAATTTATTTTTTAATCTGCTTCATGTGTAATTAAACTATAACATTCTTATCAGCTCTTGTCAAACATGAACAATTTAACCAATGTTTGTATATCCTGTTACTTTTCGAGAGAGCTACTAATTCTGGCCAGTTGGGCACCTACCATTTAGAGATCATTTAACTGTGATATTTAGTCAATTGGTGAAGAAAAATACAAAGTTAAACGTAAGCCTTGAGTTTAATATTGTGCCCATGTGGGCTGAACAGGAAATCTCTGAAGAAGTCAATGAGAACTCTTGGGTTTTATTTAAAAAGAGATAAACTGTTCCCTACCTAAAATGATAGTGGGAATCTATAAGAAGGGGAGGGGTAGGGTGGAGGGAGAAGGTGCTAACAACAGATACTGATGGTAGGCAGGACCAATACAAGGGTTCCTTATTAGGCTTGAAAGACCACTCCCACTATGGTTGATTATACTTACTGTCCTTCATGGCTTCATCTTGTTTCCTCACTTTCTTCAAAAGCACCTCACTGTTGTTTCTGAGCCACGTGTTCTGTGTTTGAATTCCTTCCACAGCCTACAACCAAAAACATGGTCAAAACACTCAGTAGTATTCCTTATTTGAATAAGGAAGTTTACGATCAATCAATTAGTCTCAACTCTCACATAAAGTTCACACCATAAGTGTTTGCTATCTTATTAGATACCAAATGACTGTATTTTCCTTCTTGCAATTTTGTTTCAGCAAACTGGACCTTCTGCATAACTGGAACTCTGACCCATGTGCTTGGGCTGGATTTTGTGACACATCCACAGTAGGCTTTTGGTAGACTTCCAAGAGGGAGAAATACAGTGGGGCAGAGGATACCTGGCAGCGTAACCGTGGGAACACATTATAATGGATTGGAAAGAATTGGTTGCAGAAAAGCCCAAAATTGACAAGAACAGCCTGCAGGCCTCAGCACAGAGACTGAAAGCAGTCAGGCCTTGGTTTAAAGTCGCAATTAAAAATTGGTAGGTTCAAAACTGCACTGAAGTTTTAGATATGACATGCTAAAATCTCTGGATAAGATTTGAATGGTGCAAGTGGTGCTACTGATTGTAGGGTGATGACTTTTTTACAATATAATACTGTTCATAAAATAATGTGCCACAACATCAGAGACATTTAGAGAAACTTTGACCCAGATCTTTCAACAGCATGATGGTCATTGCTGAAATGCAGACTGGAATTGGAATCATGTGGAAGTCCCAATGCAGTTAATTTTGCAGAATTGCCCTGGAAGTTGAAACTTCTGACGGTACATTTCCCCGGCAATCCTCTAAAAAAAGTGCGCAATTCTTAGTTAGAGTCAGAGCGTTCGGAATGTTCTGACTTAACAACCTTTATAATTAAAGAGGGGAAGATGAAGAATTAAACCCTGCTCTAATTCCTGGTTAACATTAAAATGGATCTCCCCGCCACTCGATATACCACAGACCCAACACCCCGATTACACTCCTTAATACCCACAGATACCTGACTCAAACACCTCACTTCTCCCCCAAAACATTCTCTTCTCAATGGCTTCGCAGATACATGACATTCCCTAATTTGACCCCTCAAGAATACACAATACCCGTGGAACTGAGCCCCCAACCAGAACTGCCTGAATAGATCCCTACACTCACCTGACCAGACCTAACCACTTCAATCTAAACTCAACCTCATCCACTTACATACCACCAATGCCCACATACCATCCTAGCCAGCAGCCATAAAAACAGAAGTTGCTGGAAAAGCTCAGCAACCAGCCTCCACCACCTCCTCTGTCAGCTCATTACATACATGCACCACCCTTTATGTGAAAAAAAATCTTTCCCCTCTCAACTTAAACCTATGCCCTCTAGTTTTCGATTCCCCTACCCCCAGGCAAAAGACCGCAGCTATTCACCGTAGCCATATCCCTCATGATTTTATAAACCTCTATAAGGTTACCCCTCAGCCTCCAACGCTCCAGGGAAAAAAATATCCCAGCCTACTCAGCCTCTCCCTATAGTTCAAACACTCCAATCCCGGCAACATCCTTTCTAAACCCTTTCAGGTTTAACAGCATCTTTTTTACATTTGGGAGACCAGAACTGAATGTAAAAGTGACCTCACCAATGTCCTGTACAGCTGCAACTCCGATATGCAATGCACTGACCAATGAAGGCAAGCGTGCCAAATGCCTTCTTCACCACCTTGTCTACCTGTGACTCCACTTTCAAGGAAACATGCACCTGCACCTCTAGGTCCCTTTGTTAGGCACCACTCCCACAGCCTTAACATTGACTGTATAAGTCCTGACCTGGTGTGCCTTACCAAAATGCAACACCTTATAACTAATTTAGTTTTGTTTGGTTTCTTGAACAGTTGCTCAAATTTTCTCCTTCTGAAAAAACTAATAGGTCAGCTGTCACTCTTGTAAAGAAAGCATCATATAGACACAATACATTGAAGCATGTGGACCAGGACTGTGTATCAAGACAAAACCAATACAAAATCACCAGACAGACTTGTCAGCAGATGATACACTCATAGACAAAATATCTTGGTCATTTTTTTTCATGTGCCTTCCAATAACCCATCACATTCAATGCAATTTTATATATTTACTCCTTCCTGGTTGCCACTGTGCAGTATTAGCTGGTCAGCTGTACATAGTTGTATAAAGAAGTCTTAAATTATTTAGTTATTAATCACTTTCATATCATTGGCTACAGCTACAGCAGCATAAGAAGACTATACAGTTTAACACTGACCTTCCAAGTGTAATCTCACTATTCTAAGCTATAGCCCATTAATATTGAGCACCTTATTTAAATATGATGCAATGCATTCCTTTCATTCATTATTTGGTCTGTTAAAACTTTATCATGGTGCTTTGCATTTGTAGATTCCTTTTGATATGTGACATCCAACCTAATGCTCATTGTAAGTGATTTCCTCATTTTTGGCTGAAATGTACTGGTCGCTCATCTACATCTACAGCTCCAGCCTTGTGTACTGCAAAAGCCCTATGGCTGGATGGTTGGTTTGCAATGGAGAGTTTTGCCAATTGTGTGGGTTCAATTTCCACAATGGCTGAGGGCCCTTCTTCTCAACCTCTCACATCTCCTGAGGAGCAGTGACCCTGACATTAAACAACCATGTAATCTGTTTCTAATCAGAAAGCAGCCTATTGTCTGGTAGGATTATGGTGACTTTACCCTTAATTGCAGAAGCACTGTATCCACATCAACTCTGTCTGGCCAAGCCTCTACTTACTGGCACAGGAATTCTTGTTAGACCAAAAGTGGTGTCATCATATGAGACAGACACTGATACCCATTTACTACAAGCAAAAGAGAATCATGACCTGCACTCAACCTATGGCTGGCGGAGGCCTATTGTAAAAACACTGCCACTTTGTCCTTCTGAACTGTGCAGTGTGATTTCTCTATGCGCTACATTCTCAACCTTGGTATCTAGATCCTTACCAATGAAGAGCTGAGTTTGTGCTTAACAGTGGTTGTGATGGGAATACTATGAACTGTATTGCGAAGTGCTGGTTTGCTCAATGATAGCAGTTACAATAGCACCTTTCCATTTCTAAGAAAGTAGCCTGCTCCAATTATTGATTTTCAGTTCGTTAAATGATTACCTTTCATGTTACAAGGAGGAAAACTTACTTCAAAGTGATAATGTACTGTCTCAAATAAGCAGTTACAAGGATTACTTTCATTGATCAATACACTCTGTAACATTATTGTAGTCAATACCTACATGATATGGATATTAATATTTTAATGGATGTCTCCAGCTTCATCATTCCAACTCTATTGACACTTTTTCTAATTCACAATTTCAGAAGTGGTGTCTTTAGAAAGTTTTCTGAAATATTTTGTGTCTCATTTTTTTGTCTTGAAAGCAGGAAAAATAGTATAACTATTGAAAATGCTAGGCCAATGATAATGTCAAACAGTTACATAATTCTAGAGACAAGCTAAATAACTCAAGCTTAAGAATGCATGGATACATATTCCTTGTGTTTAACCTCTGCTGGGAATAGTGGCTGTGCATTTAGCAAATATAAGTAGTTTAAATATTCCAAGAGTCACCATTCACAAAACCCACACATTGAGGTGTTTGAATCTAAGTAGCTAGCGCTGCAGCTTGGTATATTGTATCAGGAAAGATGGAAACTTGCTTTGCTGACTATGCTGGCTTGTTTTAGCATGTCACTTTCATCTGTTAGTGCTTTCTAATTTCACTAGTTTATTTTCAAGCATGTAGTGCCTCTGGTAAACTGGATGTGGATGATGATTACTCATCTTTCCCACAGTTTGTCCTTTTAGTCCCGTACTGTGCAGGCATTTTATTAACTCTCCTTTGAATGTCTTTTATCTGCTTCTTTGGTTGCAGTAATAGCTGACCTTAGCTTCCACTGCTGTTCAAGGTCCAAATGCCTCATCATGCACAATGCTGCTTTGCGTTATTAATGTGACTTCCCACTAGAAGGCACACTGTATAATAAAGCATACTGTTTAAAGTATTGATTCATATTAATGAAAGTAGATGTAAGACAGCACTCTGTGGGGCCTTTGAAAGCCAACAGACATGATCAGTCAAAACTTGACAGCAAACCAATAATCTAAAATATTGACTATTTTCAATGCACATCAATCCACTTTATAATTGTAAAGTTCATGACATTCTGAAATCATATGCCAATTCTAACAGACCCAGCATTGCTCCACTGTCAAGCACCTTCTGGAGTAGCCCAAGACATCCTTACTTGTTCTAGCCTACATGTGATTTTAGACCCAGGGAAATGTGGCTGACTCTTAAATGCTCTCTGAAATGTCCTATCTAGCCACTCAGTTCAAGAGCAGTTCAGGATGGATAACAAATAATGGCCTTGCCAGCAAGGTTCACATCCCATGCAAGAATTTTTTTTAAAAACTGATACCTTGCAACTAAATTAAGCTGTGAATCAGCTTCTGTGTAATTTTGCAGTTTGATTTTTTTCTTCTATAAACACTGATACAAATCAATCCAAACGTCATACTAGTGCTAAAATAAATGCTACAAGGAAAATATAATGTTGATTTAAAATGTAAACAAATCTGTATGCAAATTAATAAGCTGTTTAAATGTTTCCAGTAGGTTCAGTAACTAATCCTACAATGGAGCACATCAATGACCAACCAGCAATGCCCATGTTCCTCAATTAAATGAATACATAAATAAATAACTTGGCAATTTCATTCAGAGACAACATAAATGGCTAGTGTGAAGCATAAATATTCCACTGACCAAGAAATAACTGGAATCATGCTAACTTACACTACATGCAATATTTGATATACCCATACCTACAGAAGGTGAATTCTATTCCTGACTGTTCTTTACTGTCAACAGAATAACATTTACTTTTATTTAATAAAAATGTAGTTAGGCCAAATATGAATGTCAATGGTGTTACTGAGGTGTCGGAAACTTCTGTTTCACAGTAGATTGCACAAAATAAAATGGACACTTACGTCCTCAGCTCTCTGTGCAGCGTTGAGTAAAGTGGTTGCATTCTTCTCAGCCTCTGCTACATATTGGACAATATTGTCGTAGACATTTGAAGCATTTATAGCTTTCTGGACAATACCATTTGCATCAATACTCTTCAAAATACTATGAAAAGAACAAAATCATTTCTTACTTATGTGATAACACAAAGACCTGACTTTAATTATCATTTACTGTGTGGGAGCAATGGGGTAAGGTGATAGAATAGGTACATAGGGCATTCCTATCTCAAACATTTTACTTGCATAAATTCAGGCACAAGTTAGCTAGTCTGTTCCAGGGAAGTTGGGACCTAAATGAAATGGCGGGATTGTGTCTTGACAATTGCAGGGACAAATGTATTAATTTAACCTCAGGCTGATTCAGGCTAGCACAGTCAACCACACTGTGCAGGATCTGGGCTACAAGAATTCTGGTCAAGTTTGTTTTTACATTTTTTCAAGGGCCAAGAAGAGTATTATTAGAACTACAAACTCTGAGATCTAGTTTCAGACATCTACATCTCAGAGTCCACAGACATTAATACACCCTTCTTGCTTCACTTTCATGACTTTCATAATCACTTTCATAATCATTTGACATAATAATACATGAAGATATATCATCAACTGTTGCCATATAAATTAGTGCAAACCATAGCAATGTTAGCCCTGAACCCATCAGCATTTTTCTGATCTTGCTCTCCATATGTTCAGGACACAGTGTTGTAAACGGCCGTTCCATTTCACTTCTACACTGTATACATGAGTGCTGTGGGTGTTAGTTCAAACCATTCAAGGATTCTTATTTGGGTAGACAAGCTAAAATTGATACGAGAATGGCATTTTGACATTAAGTGGAAAAACTTCAAGGGTTGCAGCTTATAGTACACATCTGTATCATATTCAGTACTGCGATAGCTACTTTGCGTTGAGAATGTTCTTGAAAGAGTTACGTCTGGTCATAGTCAGATCCAACTTGTGCCAATGCACTGATCTTAGTTGTCTTAAGGATAGCTCGCAGCAGAATATTAAATCTTTTTTTGTTCCCAGTAATATCCTTTTCAGACTCTCAAACCCAGAGAAATACTATCATCTTTACTCTTTAATTTCTTACTTAACTGACTCAATCCAATTTTCCCTCTTGGACTGCTGAATCAGACTTCTTTCCCAATTCTGAAGGCATGGGTTCCTTTTCAAGGTGTGACGGCCAGAAGACACCTACATTCTCTCACAACCTAGAGATTCTAAACCTAACAAAGATCCTGTTTCCAGGAAGAAACTGCTCTTCTGAACTGCAAGCCTGATTCTTCTGTTAGGATAAAACTGAAACCTGACTCTTCTGAACCAAAGATAATAAGGTGGAGAGCTGGATGAACACAGCAGGCCAAGCAGCATAGAGGAGCAAGAAATCTGAAGAAGGGTCTAGACCCGAAACGTCAGCTTTCCTCCTCCTCTGATACTGCTTGGCCTGCTGTGTTCATCCAGCTCTACACCTTGTTATCTCAGATTCAACAGCATCGGCAGTTCCTACTATCTCTTCTGAAACAAACTTTTGTTTATTCACTCGTGAGACGTTGGTGTTGTTGACTGAGCCAGCTTTTATTGCCCATCTTGTAGCAGCCCTTGAAAATGTGTTGGTGAGCTACCTTCTTGAAGCACTGCGTGTCCCCTGAACATTTCTGTAGGCCATAATCTCACAATGTTAACACTCAAATAAAAGCAAAATACTGTGGATGCTGGAATTTCAGAATACAAACAAAACTGCTGGAGAAACTCAGCAGCATTTGCAGAGAGAGAAACCAAATTAATCTTTTGAGTCTGGTATGACTCTTCTTCCTACTGGAATTGAAACATTAACTCTATTTCTTTCTCCACAGATGCTGCCAGACCTGCTGAGTTTCTCTACTGCTTCCTGTTTTTATTTCACAATGTTATTAGGTGATCAATTAAATCTAAAGGTATTGGGTAGCCACTTACTAAATCACATGAATTCCTGAAAATAATGCATTTGGCTTACTTTTCCAAATGCTCTTCTGACCTCTTTAAAATAGGTTCTCTTCACAGAACTTAAACCAATACCTAGCTGCCCCTATTTTAAAAGATCAAATTCCAAATTCAAATCCAAAATGTATAATATACATTATACACTTTTATCATGTGGTGAATAACATCCTGTATTATGGGATCAAAAAGGCAACAGATCCTATAGCAAAAAAAAAGGAGCTCCCTTGAGAACAAAGGCAGGGGAGGACTATAATTAAATATTAGGTCATTGAGAGTTTGGTACATCTACGCTGCACAATCACCGGAAGAAATCAACAGACACATCACAAAAGCTGCAGTTATTATTTCCAAGTTGTGTAACTGAGAACACCAAACAGTGAGTGAAACAGGAGGCTGGAAGAACACAGCAGGCTAGGCAGCATCTGGAGGAAAGGAGCAGTCAATGTTTCAGGTATTACCTTTCACTGACTTCTCCTTTCCTGCAGATGCTGCCTGGCCTGCTATGTTCTTCCAGCCTCCTGTTTGCCTACCCTGGTTTCCAGCATCTGCAGTGTTTTTGTTTCTAAACGTGGAGTGAAGCCTCTTTCTATTCCTCTATAGTGATGACAACAGTGAAATAATGACTTGGCAGGAGAAGAAAAGGCTTCCACATTTGGTGCCTCAACCAACTCAAAGGTCCATTAGCACAGAGTCATCACTATAAAGCCAACACTGTCTGCTCCATTTTCACCAGATAAATAATGACTGTATAACCAAAATATTTTTGTACAGTGAACTAGTCATTGGATCATGACCTGATTGCCTTCAATATCTTCACTATATGAACACCTGATAGTGAGAAATGAAGGTGACAGGCATTAACAGATTGACCTCTGGAGGCTGACTGTTTGGAAAACATACGGAGAAATTGAATGCTCAAATGGACAAGGAAAGGGCCCAGAGAAAATAAAGGCCAATGAAGCCTGCACCCTTTCAGTCAACTGTCTTCAGTGGCACCAAATGAAGTAGTGGCTGCCATGCTACAGTGAGTGGCATATACACTTAGTGATCTTCAAAACAGAGTTGACCACCAAGGCAAAAACTATCTTTAAAGATAGAAAGATGCTAAGATAAGTCTAAATCTTCCAACTGATACCTCCCCAAGAAGTTACAATACAAATTAACCATCAAGATGCAATTCAACATTGTACAATTGTGTCTCGTGAAACTGCAGTCTAGTTAAAGATGCGTGACTTCATAGCATGTAAAACTTGATATATTCTTCACCCTGTGTTAGGACTCTAGAATGCAAAATGTATGTTTATCAATGTGTCATTTAACTCATATCCTTTCTTTGTTTCTTCCATTGTTTGTTTCATTGCAGCTCTAAGCAATATTGTTGTTAACCTTGCAATTTTGTTATGTAGAGACTGGATGGTGCGACTTACTTGGCCAATTCTAATGCAAGCTTGCGAAGCTGTTCAGCATAGTCTAGAGCTCGGAGAACCAGGGGCTTGTCATATGTAGAGAGATTAGTCAGTTTATCCCTCAGTAGGTTTTGAGCACCATCTATTGAGGCATGGAATGTAGACAAGTTCTGCCGTTTAAAAAAAAGGAAGTTAGATATTTTAAAAATTCCTCTCGATAAAATCTGAAACTTTGTAAGTACTTCTTAACATTTAATACGTCAATCTGAAATTATTAAGGAGTTAAGTATTTTCTGATCAAGACGACAAAGAAGCAACCAGCCTTTAAAAATATCTCAATGTCTGAACACTTCCTCTCTATTGAGAACTCTGAGCTGTCCACATCCAATGCTCAGAAGTGAACAGCTTTAACAGACAGAAAAAATGGCACAAGTATGCCACAAAATCTTAAAGCTGAGGTGCCATTTGCTAGTGATTATTTATAAAGCAGGTGACAGTTGGAAATCCACCCTTAAGCAGGTAATACCAGTGACTGCAATGAAGGGTTCTTGTTTTCAAGCCTAACTAATTTCCTGACAATTTGCTTTAACTCTTAAAATCACATTTTCTTCATCATTTCTTAGTTGTAACATCTGTGTAATTTAGAAATAGTGAGCAGGGCGCCAGTGATTTTATAGCATGCGCTGGTGATGGGAAGGACAATGGACAAAGATTTTCATCACTTATATCCTTCTCACTCATTCACTAAATATAATTTAAACAAGTCTAACAACTAGTCTACCTAGAAGATTTCAGTATTGACAATGCTTGCATGAAATATTTCCTGAAATGTTTCCTAACCTTATCTTTCACCACTGCTAACTAACCTTATTCTTGCCTTATCTTGGCTTAACTCTGAAATCATCTTTTACATATCATATTTTGAATGTAGTTATCTGGCTTTAAAATAATATTCTTCTGTATTTATATGGGGACACAGCGTCACTGGACTGGTAATCCAGAACCTCAGCTAATGCTCAAACAAAGGCAAAATGCATGCTGGAGAGATATTTCTCTACCTACAGATAGAGCCAGAAGAGCTGAGTTTCTCCAGCATTCTCTGTGTTTGTCTCAGGTTAATGCTAATGGATTCAAATCCCACCATGGCAGATGGTGAAATTTTTTTTAAAAATTGTAATTTTGTTTTAAAAGCTAGCTTAATGGTGACTGTATAACCACTACTGATTGTCATAAAAGAAAACCTATCTAATGTCCATCAGGAAAAGAAATCTGTCACCCTTACCCAGTCTGGCCTATATGTGACTCCACACTTACAACAATGTGGTTGATGCTTAACTGCCCTACACAGCTAATCAGTTCAAGGGCAATTAGGGATGGGCAAAAAATGCCAGCATTTCCAGTGACATGCAAATCCCATGTAAGAATAAAAGAAAGTGGTAACAGTGAAGTTTTATTATTATAACTGGAAATGGCTTTATCCCAAAATTCGAGTACTTTAATCATAATATCTCATTCATTAATGACTTTTAATAACAATTTAACAATTTTAAATTACTAAAAAATGTTAAGAAATTATACAAAACCATTTGCTAGTTATATTGTTGAACAGTGATCAGTAATCATCAAAAGCAGTAGGTAATAATAAGTAATCTTCAAGTTCAAAAATAGAGATTATCAAAAGCTTTTGAAAAGTGCCGATGAGTTTTTTGAGCCTAAAATTAAAATGTAATTTTAAGAGACTCTTCAAAGGTCTGCAAACAAGTGCAATTAGTTGAACCTCCCAATGATGATTATTTCAATCTGGTGGGTGCGGCTAGTTTTGTTGACAGGGTCTGCTTTCAGTTTCAGTACAATATATTTTAAATTCACACTAGATTATGGAAACTCAACTTACATGGATCAAAATTATGCTTAACACTTTGAAAGTGCTTGGCCAGTTTCAGTAGAATTGTGCATCATAGAGGATGCTTATTTTAAATTCAGTTTCATCCATATTATCACCACTGGCAATGCCATTGTGGCTAGACAGACATTGAGCTGATGTTAAAAAGTAAAATGCAGACAACATGAAGGCCAAGATGTAGTTATGAAAATTGAAATTGCAAGTTTTCAATGTTTCCACCCAATTTATTCCAACCTCCCTAGTTTTCACACAGTCTCATAGAAGTACTTTTTTCTTATGTTTGCATCATACACCTGTTACTAACTTTTTAATAAATAATATTAACAGGAGAAATCTTTCTTGTGAATATTTTTATAAACTGTAAACATTTCGCAGTCCAGTTATTGGCTTACACACTCACTGATTATTAACCAGTTATTAAAGTTTGTCTTGCCTTACCGTAATCTTATTTTCTAGTTCGGATATAGCAATTTCCGTGTCTATCAAGCCATTACTAGCCATTTGAAGGGTCATATTAACAGCAGCAAAATGTTTGTTTAATACTTTTTGTAGTCTCTGTGGAAGGAAACAAAAATGCTGAGAAAATTTGCAGGAGAGAAAGCTTTAGTTTACGAAATGTTCCAAACAATTTTATAAATGCATTTATGTTACTTCCTTCATGGATTCCCTGGTAATGTAGTACCAAATTTTCTGCCAAAGTAATCTGCAATGTCGCAAAGCTTGACTCCTGAACCAACGGCAGGATCAGAACTCAAAAGTACAGTTCAACATATTGCCTGTACAACCTAACATTATAAAAGAAATGGCTGATTGGAAACTTGGATTGTGCTTTCATTTTGTTTATGTCCTTGATATCTTAAACGAACTCAGGTCATCACCAATACTTAGGGTGCATTAATGAATAATTTAATCTTGGATTTTAACTTCCTGATACAGTTATTTTCAATAACTCCTCTAGATGATTCATATTTGCTGAAATATAATTTGCAAACAGAAAAATCATGTGGATGAAAAAATAATTTATTAAATGAATCTAAATCCAATCTTTTTGCCTGCAGAGTAGGGTAAATTCACCCAATGCCCACACTCCATGGTCAGTGTAAGATTGGTGTACTTAGCCCTATGTCTTTAAATTCATCAACTAGAATAGATATGAGCATGGTGCCATCTGACTCATGTCTTCTTTGCCTACACATGGAAGATTGTGCATCTAAACCTTTGTATGTTAAAAGTGTATGCTAAACTCAACTTTTTTTCAATGAACCCTCATTATTTCAAAGCAATATGGTGGACGCAGGAAATCTCAATCAAAGCGGAAAGTGCGGCAGGTCTGGAAGTATCATTGGAGAGAGAAAGAATGTTTCAATTCCATCATAACTTTTCTCTGGAACTGAAGGAATCACACTGGACTGGAAAGATTAGCTATTTCTCTATCCACAGATGCTGCCAGAACCGCTGGGATTTTCTAGTGCTTTCTGCTTTTAGTAACCCTCATTATTTATCTCAGTCTTTCTCCTTAAGGCCACTGTATGCACAGAAATAAATATTGTATCAACTGGTAATTCAGGCAGATCAGATTTGCATTTTGTAATATGTAATAAATTGGAGGTCTATTTTGGACCAAAAGCATTCCTGTATCGGTTCACCTCTTTTCTTTGGTAACCCTTGATGTTATTTTCATTCTTCTCCTCTGTCTCCTGAACAGTCTTGATTGCATCTTCAAGTGCTTCCTTCAGATCCAAGATATCATTATTGTATTTGGTAATATTGTCCTGTATTTTACGAATTGAGTCATTAGCTTCCATCAGCTTATTATAAAACCCATGAACACGATTTAACACTGAAAAGTAATTAAATGTTGAACACTGTCAGATTGGTATTTCAAAATCCTCAAACATGTACAAATTAGGACTTTTGAAGTGTGAAGGAGTAGGAAACTAGAAATATATTATGAATTGGCTAAAAATTAGCACATAGTTGATTTCAAATACTGCACTTACACATAGAATCCCTACAGTGCTGAAAGAGGCCATTCATCCCAACAAGGTTGCAATGACCAAACAGCATCCCAAACAGACCCAGACCTCCATCCTATCCCCATTGCCCTAGATGGCTAACCCACCTAGACTGCACACTACAGGGGAATTTACCATGGTCAATCCACATCTTTGGACTGTGGGAGAAAATGGGAGGAAGCCCACACAGACACAGGAAGAATCTGCAGATTCTACACAGTCCTCCAAGACTGGAATCGAACCTGGGTCCCTAGCACTGTGAGGTAGCAGTGCTAACCACTGAGTCACCGCACTATCCTTGTACTACATGCAAAACAAATTGATTCTCTGGACTGAAGACACACTTCTGAAGAGAATGTGTGTACTTAGTTGTTGGAAAAGTACTTTTAGCTAATTCATACAATGTGATGGGCTTTACCATTGTGAAGGGTTTTGTGGTTTCAAATTTTGTATTTTTTAGATGGACCCCAACCAATATAGTATACCAGGAAATTAAACATTAAGGGCACTGACTCTCCCATTTGCTAAGAAAATGAAACCTGAAACTGCTACTGAGAAACAAAAATTATATGGAGACCAAAAAGACAGTGATAAATCTTGGTCCAGTAGAACTTGATATGTCCAATGATGCAGTACAGGCAAGATGAAAATAACAGAAGCTAGATCCAGAATCTGAGAATAATTTAATATACAGTTTCTGCAGCTGTTTTGATTACTTGAAGATAATATTGTTGGATCTTTGTGACTGAAACTAGGCTAAGGAAGTTCTGAAAACTTGTGCCATTTGTGCTGAAGACCATGCTATGGATCTCCAGATTGATTGTATACTGCTGTCTGCTGGGGATCAGGTTAGTTCCCATGGGGAGAAGCTGAATTACTTTCTGAGAAAGACATAATTTTGACTGACATTTATAATTGAGATTGATGAATGAATTGTTAAACTAATTTTGAGTTTTATATGTCATTTAGTATCTAATTTATAGTTCATAATTAACCGTAATTTACTCTGAATCTTTGTGTAACCTATATTGATTCTGCATCTTAGAGTATTGATAGCTAACATTTACTTTTTATGAGCCATGGAATCTGTGGCTTCATTCTGTCTTAAATTACAGGGATTTTTGATGTCTACTTTTCTAAAAAAAATGTCATTGGACTTTACCAAGATCTTAAGACCATATATTTGAACGAATGCTTCATTCTCTGTGCAGAGTAGGAATATTAATGTAAATTATTAAAACATACAATTCCGGGCTTTTGCTCTTTCTTCTTCAGCCAATGGTTTTTGGTCAGAAAAGTCTCGGTTTCTCAGCTCATCCAACATCTGGTTCGCCTCATGAAAGTTTTTGCTAATTTCCTCAGCTGATAGTTCTTCTTCTTTTCCATATTTATTTAGGCCTTCAATAATATCTGCAAAACATAATTAGATAACACCTTAGCAAAACGCAAACCTTGTCAACTGGCTAACTTCGACAACACTGCAGTGTGGTTTACTTGAATGTAGAAATGGATAGTTATAGGCAATATAGATTGCAGAGTCGTTGGGCTTCAGTTTCTTTGTCATTCCACATCACAATCTGATTTTACAATTTTCTGAATGCAGCCTTGATCTAATAATTATAAACAGATTCAATGTGTACAGCATCCGTGAATAAAAAAGGAGAAATATGTTTCTAATAGTTTCTAACTAAATTACCAGTATTGACCTAATGTGAAAGGCAAACGATGCACAAGGCTTCTTTGTGTCAGACTTGAACATCTCAAGTCTATAAAGTTTGAGTATTTGTGAAATTATATCTAGAAACTGGAAACTTGATTAACCCATATTTCTAAACTACCAAGGAATACAAAGCATACATCTGCAGCATATGACTCTCAGAACTGCAAAGTGTGTTAAACACTAAACTGGAAGAGACTAAACTTTTATTATTCATGGGATCTGTAGTTTGGGCCTTGGGTTTGAAAAATGCTGTCGAAAGACCTCTGATGAATTTCTGCAGCGCATCTTGCAGATGGTACAAACAGCACATACTCTGTTTGCAGATGTGGTGCCAACCAAGCAGGCTGCTTTGTCATGGATGGTGTCAAAGTGTCTTGAGTGCTATTGGAACTGCACTCTTCAGGCAAGTGGGGAGTATTCCTTCACAATTTTGATGTGTGCCTTACAGATATTGGACAGGATTTAAAAAGTCAGGAGGTGATTTACTTCCTGCAGATCCCCTAACCTCTGATCTGCTCTTGTAGCTACTGTATTTATATAGTTTGTCCAGTTCAGTTTCTGGTTTCTAGTAACCCCCAAGTTGTTCACAAAGGGGCATTCAGTGATGTTATTAAATGTCATGTGCTGATTCTCGCTTGTTGGAGATGGTCATTTTCTTGCACTTATGTGGCATGAATATTATCTGTCAGCCTAAGTCTGTTGCATTTGGACATGGACTGTTCCATTATCTGATGAGTCGCAAATGGTTCTTAACACTGGGAAATCATTAGCAAATGTCCCTGCTTTTGACCTTAAAATGAAAGGAAAGTCAATTATGAAGCAGCTGAAGGTGGTTGCACCTACGACACTACGCTGAAGAACTCCTGCAGAGATGTTAAACTGATGTTCATCAACTACAACATTTTCTTTTGTGCAAGTTATGGTTCCAAACAGTCAAGAGTTTTTCCCCAATTCCCTTTGACTCTAGTTTTGCTCGGGATCCTTGATGCAATATTTAGTCCAGTGTGGCTTTAATACCAAGTGGGGTCACTCTCAGTACCCCCTCTGGAATTCAGCTTTCTTGTCTATGTTTAAAACAAGATTGCAATGAGGCCAAGGAGCTGAGTGGTCCTTGCGGAATTTAAACTGAGCATTCATAAGAAGGTTATTTCTAAGCAAACGCTGCTTCATAACACTGTTGATGACCCCTTTGGTCACTTTATTAATGATCCCAGAGTATATTGATGGCCAAGTTAGATATCTTCTGCTTTATGTGTGCAAGACTCACCACACAATTTTCCACATTTTCAGCTAAATGCCAGTGATCCACGTGTGCAGCTTGATGAGGGGTATGGCCCTATGCAGATACTACGATCTTCAGAGCACAAATACATCTCTCAGAATAGAACTAACTGCCCATTTACTCTGGAGAAAAATGCATGCATCAATCTGTTCATCAACTCACCCACATGGAATTGTATTTAAAGCAAATGTGGAGAAATATTTACACCACCTTCACCAGAGTTTGGACATGCTCATCAAGTTGTCAGGATTTGAACATTGACAAATTGTTAACTTTGCAAATCTTACCCACTATTGCAAGAATACCAGAAAAGAAAACGCATTCACATAGGTGCAAAGTGACTTTATAGAATAATTTAGTTTGTTGCTATAATTAAAGGAAGGCCTTCTACATAATTAAAAATCAGTTCTGAATGCAACCTCCTTCATCCTGCCCTCTTTTCTTTCTAGCCCACAGCTTATATGATGAAAATGACCAACAGTTTTGCTTCAGCTTCCTTTCAGATTAATGCAGGCTTTGCTTTTCATAGAAAAAGAATTATGCCTTTACCTTGGACCAAATTGGCAATATCACCAATTTGCCCATTGATCTGGTTTGCATGGTCACCGATTTTGGCAGTTTCCTTGTCAAACAGCTGTGCATTCGACGCGGTTATGTTTTCCTAAAATAATAAAATTAAGTCAATATTAGTAAAGGACTATCATGAAAGAATAAATTTCATCAAATGTTATTAATTAGGAAGCCCAGATTTACAATGTCACAAGTTCTAGATGGCGCATGACAATGTAAATTATCAAATGATAAACATTTCTTCAGTGATATCTGTTAAGAATCCCTTTCCTACAAAATGAGGGGTTGAACATAAAGGAACATGCAAACTTTATCTGAAATACAGATTCTAATTTTAAATGCGACTCACTCACTCACCTATTTTGATAATGACTGTTTGTTGCCAGACGCCTATCTGGAAAACACTGGTTTGGATGTTTTGCTGGGCAACTAGTGTGTGCTTTCACGGTTGAGTAAGATAACTGTGGCCCCACTATTGACTGGATGAATGCGCAACAGTGTGCACAACAGTGTACATAGCTAGCTTAAAGGCAGGTGGACCCATTTAAAGGAGAATTCCAATGTTTATAGGGAAACTACTGGTGACTGTCTGTAGTGCAGGTGGTTGAAAGGAGAAACACCAGCAGCAGCCAAGATAGGGAGGTCTAAGGTTCCCCCAAAGGCGTGTTGGAGACTTTACTCCAGGAGGTCGACAGCAGTAGAGAGTCATCGGGGCAAGAATGTTCTAAAGACACTACTAAGAAAGGAATGGGAGTAACTGCTCTAGAAGACAATTTCCAAAGTCTGGCCCCAAGGACCTGGTAGCAGTTACAGAAGAGGTTCAGTGAATTCATGGAGGTGGTTAAAGACAGTGAATGCACCTTCACAGGACAGTTCTTGCTAATTGCATCACCGACCCTCAATTACTGACTGATCAGCAATTCTGAGCACAAAGGACTCAGGCCAAAGTTCAGATGCTTCACCTTACCTTCACACACTAACCAATGTTGACATCCCCACACCTACTTCTTATAGCATCCACGTAGCTCCAGCTATTGAGCTATGGCAAGCATGCCGCCCAAACACAATGCAGCAGAATAGCATTGTTTTCTGTCTCAGGGATAAATTGCCTCATGACAACAGGGAGCAGAGTTAAACAGGATGGGGCAGGGGATCCAAATTCACTGGAAAGGACTGCACTCAAATTATGAAAGACTGTGACAAAGGACTGAGGAAGAAATTCCCCTGGCAGGGAATTCGTGCTGCGTGCAGGCTCCATGTGCGAAGGGTTGTGAAGAGGCCATGGGAGAGCTGAGTGTGAGCTGAAGTTTAGGTAAGGAGTCAGTGTTGATGGAAGAGAAGACTGAAGCATCAGGAGGTAGGCAAGCATTCACCCACTTTGAATCAAAGAGATACTGGATGAATTGAGAAGCAGAGACTTTAAGGATGATTTTTGAAATCTATCTAGACTGGAGATCTGAATGTTAAGACAACATTTGTGACTCTCAGTGATTACTGACATCTGGGTTGTTTGTAGTCAAATCCATGGCATTTGTCATGGTCATATCTGTGCAGAACATTGTGCTTGAGTTTGAATGTTAGAGTATACGATATATGTTATCTGTTAATTCATATTTACTTCGCACTAATTTTGGATGTTCGAGCACATGATGTTTTTCAGTTGTGAGTGGATAGCATAGGATGCTCACCAGAACATTACTAGTGAGCTAGTACGAGCTTCATACAGAAGTTTAATTTTCACCTAGATTATAAAAATTAAAGGAAAACCTAACAGCCTATTTTGCAAATTTCAACGTAAGGCATGCAACTTCCTCTGTAACACAGGAATCTGTCAGAAATTTTTTGATAAAGGCTATGAACATACATGGTATTGTATGAAACATAACTTTGAATAATTTGAATTTAATTCCATTGATGCTGGGAATGCAAATATTTACGGATTATGATGATTGAAGGAGGAGACCATGTCCTATTTGATCATTACAGAATCCCTACAGTGTGAAAACAGGCCCTTCGGCCCAGCAAGTCCACACCAACCCTCAGAGCACCCAGCCCCCTATAACCCACCTAATGTACAAATTCCTGAACACTATGGGCAATTTAGCATGACCAATCCACCGAGCCTACACATCTTTGGACTGTGGGAGGAAACCCATGCAGACACGGGGATAATGTGCAAACTCCACACAGACAGTCACCCAAGGGTGGAATTGAACTAGGGTTCCTAGCACTGTGAGGCAGCCCTCATGTTGCCACCATGCTGCCCACTTTGTCTGTTGAGCAAACAGACCTGAAAAACCCGAATGGATCTCCACTGCCATCACATAACAACAGCTTCTGAAAAATTGCAATTTTTCAATATATACCTGGAAGCTGTGAACAGTTACTAGAGTACTTTCCGAGGATGTAGCATCGTCTCTTTTAGTTTATAAGAGTAAGAGGCTGGAATTGGAGTCTATATCTCACAGGAAAGTATGTTGAATAAACTTGATGAAGTTTGAGATAATCAGGATTCCTAATTGTTTCTCATCTGAATCTGAAATATGGTGCAAGGATGTCCCATCATTCTGCAGCTAACAGCAATGTAAACTCATTGGCAATAAACTAAAAAAACTGTGGGAAAGTCGTCTCATTGTGCCCTTTTAGTTTGGATTCTTGACTTTAATGCTTTTGATATTTTTCTAATCATAAATGCTCTGCAGAGCTCTGTGCATGCCTTGTTCTGTCTGAGTATGAACGCATGTGCCTTTATAATTAAGGAGGACATAGTTTTAGTCACAAAGTAGCTTAGTTGTAAATCAGTTTATCACTTGTTTGAAGAATGAGTTTGCCTGAAATAGACATATTATTTTTGAATTTATTGAAAAACCTGGTGAAAGTCTCTTTTCCTTTAGTTCACAGTAATAAAGAAAAATGAGTTGACCATTTTTGGTGATTGAATTAAACATTTACATTTTTGGTATGACTTGTGAAGTGGTTGGGTTTAATTTCCAGTGCGCTCCTCCTGCTTGAGTAAGATTAGTAAAATTGAGTAACATTAGTAAGATCTAATTTATAATCTTAACAAAAGATGCAATTTTTTTCACAGCAAAATAAATTCTCTTTAAGTTAAATCAAAAGTGTGCACCTTCTCAGATAGCACGTTGAGATCAGCAATAAGGTCCGTCATAGCTGCTTCAATGTCTTCTGTTTGAAGTTTCTTTGATTCTGATTGCGATATCCTGTCTGCAATCTGCATCTGTATTGTATGAGATAATTGGTGACAAATTGGTATGAAGCTCTAATCACTGGAACCTTGGCTTTAATTGACAAAATTTTAAAATATGGTTACAGTTCTGATGAAACAGGCGCATTAATGGTTTTAAGCAGTGTGGCCACTGAGTTCAGTGCTGCAGTGTGTCTGGAACTTTTTAATCAACCTGTTCAGAGATGTTATTCTCGAGCAGATGAAACTTGAACCCAGTCCTCTTGGCCAATAGGTAGGGGCACTAGCATTCTGTCACAAGAACCCTTGCTGTGTGTCTGAACACTACCCTTTAACTAACCATAGCTGGCCTTGCGTGCTTTCCAAACTGTTATGAATGCTTAAGCACTTTAAGTAAGGCACGGGTGCATATCATTCCATTTCTCAACACGGCACCAGTCTGGAGCACAAAATTAAAAACCCAAAGAACTGCAGATGCTGTAAACCAGGAACAAAAAAAAGTTCTGGGGAAGGGTCACTAGATCCAAAATGTTAACACTGATTTTTTTTCTTCACAGATACTGCCAGACCTGCTGAGCTTCCAGCAACTTCCGTTTTAGTTCCTGCAGCACAAAATTACCCTCCAAACTGAAATACCAATGAAAGGTAAAAAAAAAATGAATCCCTACTGTAATACAGAAAGCTGTTGGAATTTCTTTGATAAGAGTTAGGACTCGAGTCAGCGACTGGGTAACCTCAGTCGAAGAGATGTAGCCTGTATAGGTCTATAGCAAATTCAGACACATAAGTTGGTTAGGACTTCCATTTGTTAGTCAAGGGCCTGTACAGGCTGTCTAAGATGGGAGTCTGGTCATGTCTACTCACACAATGCACCCCTCTTCCCAGTGATAGGAACCAAATGCTGGAGCATCCAGTAGCATGAAGCAACTGGACATTTGCAGTAGCATGTGAGATTACTGTCTGCCTGCTTTATGCAAATGAGGGCTTCTCATTGACCACAAACTTTGTTGGGTCAATGCAGGAGTCTACGAAAAAGGACATTGTTTACTAACTTTTGGAACTGAGCTTTATCACAGGTTTAGAGAAATGCACATCTGGCAGGAAACTGAGGACCAAACATGTAGAATGACCTCAGATATATATAAGACTAATAGGGCTGTAACAGTAGGGCACTTTAACTTTTCAAATATAGACTGGGACTGCCATACAAGGGCTTGGATGGGGAGGAATTTGTTAAATGTGTTAAAAAAAATTCTTTATCAAATGTATACGTGCCCACTAGAGAAGGAACAAAACTTGACTTTCTCTTGGGAAATAAGGCAGGGCAAGTGATTGAAGTGTTAGTGGGGAATTACTTTGGGACCAGTGAATATAATTCTATTAGTTTTAAAATAGTTTCAGAAAGGGACAGACTTAGTATAAAAGGTAAATTTTGAAATTGAACAAAGACAAAATTTGGTAGCACGAGACAGAACTTTCAGATGTTGATTGGGGTAGTCTATTTGCAGGTAAAGGAACGACTGGCAAGTGGGAGGTTTTCAAGTAAGATAACGAGAGTTGAGAGGTATTATGTTCCTGTTAGAATGAAGCATAAGGCTAATAAGAGTTGTGAACAATGGTCAAAAATAAAAAGGAGGCATATATAGGTATAGACAACTGGGAGCAAGTGAATCTCTGGAAGAGTATAAGGGCTGCAGGGGCATTCTTAAGAAGGAAATCAGGAGGGCTAAATATGGATATGAGATCGTCTTGGCAGATAAGGTTAACGATAATCTAAAGAGATTCTACAAGTACATTAAGAGCAAAATACCGACTCGGGAGAGAATAGGCCCCTGAAAGATCAACGAGATCTTCTAAATGTAGAACCTCAGGAGATGGGAGAGATACTACATGAATATTTTGTGTCAATTTTAACTGTGCAGAAATACATGAAAACTAGGGAACTCGGGGAAATAAATATTGATGTCTTGAAAACAGTCCACATTACTGAAGAGGAGGTAATGGAAGCCTTAAAAAACATAAAGGTGGATAAATCTCTGGGACCTGATCAAGTGCATCCCAAGACGTTGTGGGAAATTAGGGAAGGAATTGCAGGGCCCCCAGCAAAGATATTTGTATCACCTATAGCCACGGGTGAGTCATAGTGTTATACAGCATGAAAAACAAACCCTTCGTTCCAACTTATCCATGCCGACCAAATATCCTAAACTGATCTAGTCCCATTTGCCAGCATTTGGCCCATCTCCCTCTAAACCATTCCTGTTGATGTACCCTTCCAGATATCTTATAAATGTTGTAATTATACCCACCTCCACCACTTCCTCTGGCAGTTTATTCCATACATGCACCACCCTCTGCATGAAAAAGTTACCTGTCAGGTTTTCCCCTCTCACTTTAAACCTATGCCCTCTAGTTTTGAACTTCCCTACCCTGGCAAAAAGACCTTGGCTATTTACCCTTGTAAAGTCATCCTTCAGCCTCCGAAAGTCCAGGGTAAAAATAGCCCCAGCCTATTCAGCCTCAACTCTCCAATCCCGGCAACATTCTTGTAAATCTTTTCTGAAGCCTTTCAAGTTTAACAAGGTGCTGGAGGATCAGATGGTGGCTAACGTTGTACTTTTATTTAAGAAAGGCTTTAGGGAGAAGTCTGGGAACTGTAGACTGGTGACTCTGACATTTGTAGTGGTAAAGTTGTTGGGGGGAGATTCTGAGAGATAGGATTTACATGTATTTGGACAGGCAAGGACCGATTAGGGATAGTCAGCATGGAAATTTGAGCATGGGAAATCATGGGTCACAAGCTTGATTGAGTTTTTTGAGAATGTATCCAAAAAGATTGATGAGGGCAGAGCAGAAGACATTGTCTACATGGACTTTAGTAAAGCCTTTGACAAGGTTCCGCACGATAAAATGATTAGTAAAGTTAGGTCACATGGGGTTCAGGGAGAGCTTGTCAATTGGATACAAAATAGGCTAGATGGTAGGAGATAGAGAATGGTGGTGGAGGGTTGCTTTTTGGACTGGAGACCTGTGACCAGCGATGTTCCACAGGGATCAGTGCTGGCTCAACTGTTGTTTGTGATTTATATAAATGATTTGGATGAGAAATTAAGAAGACTGGTTCGTAAGTTTGCGGATGACACCAAAAATTGGTGTCATGGTCAACAGTCAAGAAGGTTATCTAAGATTACAAAGGGATTTTGTTCAATTGGGCCAATGGGCTGAAGAGTGGCAGATGGTGTTAAATTTCAATAAATGCGAGATATAACATCTTGATAAAGTGAACAAGGGTAGGATTTATACAGTTAGTATTAGGGCCCTGGGTAGTGTTGTCGAACAGAGAGACCTAGGGTTTCAGGTACATAGTACTTTGAAAGTTGTGTCACAGGTAGACGGTGTGGTTAAGAAGACATTTAACATGCTCGCCTTTATTGCTCAAGTCACTGAGTATAGGAGTTGGGACGTTATGTTGAACTTGTATAGGATGTTGGTGAGGCCACTTTTAGAGTGCTATGCACAGTTCTGGTTACCCTGGTAAAGGAAGGATATTATTAAATTGGACAGAAGATTTACCAGGACGTTGCTGGGACAAGAGGGTTTGGGTTATAAGGACAACCTGGATAGGCTGGGAATTTTGTCACTGGAACATAACACATTGAGGGGTGACCTTATCGAGGTTTATAAAATCATGAGGACATAGATGAGGTGAAAAGCAAAGGTCTTTTCCCTAGGGTAGTGGAGTTCAAAATTAGGGGTCATATCTTTAAGGTGAGAGGGGAAAGATTTAAAAGGGACCTGAAGGGCAACTTTTTCACACACAGGTTGTATGTGGAATAAACTGCCAGAGGAAGTGGTAGATGCAGGTACAGTTACAACATTTGAAAGACATTTGAACAGGTACATGTATAGGAAAGGTTTCAAAGGATAAGGGTCAAATACAGGCAAGGGGAACTCATTTAGTTTTGGAAACTTGGTTGGCATGAACGAGTTGAACTGAAGGATCTGTTTCCATGCCACAGATCTGATGTACTAACATTCAGAATCGAGAAAGATATCAAATAATGATTAATTCTGTAAAATTGAAGTATCTTTGTGTTCGATAGGTGATTAATAATAGTAATTGAACTGCACAAGTTTGCCTCTTTTCATGAAGCAGCTTAATTATTAGATGAAGAGCCAGCTGGCTGGAGTGTGATGCTTCAGAACATGAAAAATACAGATTCTTTTATTTTTCTTTATTCATTCATGGGATGAAGGTGTTGCTGGCTAGGCAGCATTTATTGCCCATCCCTAATTGCCCAGAAGGCAGTTAAGAGTCAACCACAATGCTGTGGGTCTGGAGTCACATGTAGGCCAGACCAGGAAAGGATCACAGTTTCCTTCCCTAAAGGACATTCATGAACCAGATGGGTTTTTCCCAATAATTGACAATGGATTCACAGTCATCATTAGATTCTTAATTCCAGATATTTATTGAATTCAAATTCCACCATCCGTCATGGTGGGATTTAAACCCAGGTTCCCCAGAACATTAACTGGATCTCTGGATTAACAGTCCAGTGATAATACCACTAGGCCATTGCCTCCCCATCAGTTTGTTGACCAGCTGAAGCAGTTCTTGTCACCTGTCTCCTCGCCTTCTCCCAGGGCATATCATGGCATGGAGAGCCACAATTAATTGCTCTTGAATAATAAGCATAAAACATTGAATGAGGGAATTATATTTCACTGTACATTACACCATTAACCTTTCTGTCTCAATTTGCCTTCCTCAGCATAATTTGTCCAAAGCTATCTTCTAAGACTTGACAAAGCCTATCTGTCGGACAAATGTTAATGTCTTAGGAAATTGAATGTGGCATAAATTTAAAGTCTACTTTACAGCCCTTGATTTAGCAGCAGTAAAATATGTAATAAGGGGAAAAATTCAAAATCAATGAGTAAATATCAATCACAGTACCAGCCCTATTTGATTTTCATTGCTGGCACTTACACTGAAGTGAATCGCTGTGGTATTGAATTCCTGTAAGCGGTTATTAATGGCATCTCCAGTAATAACGTTTAGAACACTCGACCTAGCTTCTCCTAATGATACTCCTGATAATTTTAGGTCTTCAATTAAGTCCCAGATACACTTGTCACATCCTGTTGAGATAAAAGAGCAATACAGAATTAGAGGCAAGCACGGTAAAATGTTATCAGAAACAGCACAGGATCTTCTCAGCTTGTCTCTCAATGGTAATGGAGCTGTATGGTCAAAGACAGTACATTGTTGCCCATTCACAAACCATCCTCTTTTTGAGTATGGCTGCCTTAATACATGCATGGGAATCCAACTATTTGTTCAATTGTTCTGCAAGCGATATGGAAAATATACAACAAAACAGTGAATCAAACGTCACCACGTATTATTTTCCAGGAATATTCATCACACGATTATACAGACTAGGACTTTTCAATGTTCATTCTCCACTTCAGTGTAAATTAGCTCCTCTTTGCTGAGCTGATAACATGTTGAAAAGCAGGATGGGACAACCTTGAGCAGAACTCTTGCCCTCTCCCAATTGCAGCCCTCAATTCTTTGTCCCTCAAAGGTTTCTAATGCCCAGTCTCACTTTTACAGCTGGCAGATGTAGTTCAGTCACCGGGATCGGTGGGGAAAGGCCTGGCAGACCACCATGCCTGGGCCTCAGGTCAGAAAAGGCTGCCTGCATCGCTGACCCCTTTTTCAAGATTCGACAACCCCTTCACTCAGCCCTCTGGCTGCCCCCTCCCACCTGGCTGTGCCATCAATGCCATACACATCTGATATCTCTTCTTCTGGTTGCACCATGACACACCATACCAACCTGGTCCTGATGGCTCTGCTATTTAGCTTGGCTCGATTGCTTGTAGTCCCGGCAATGAAGACAGCTTTAGGTGGCGCTACTGAGACTACAGAACTGTCAGCTAATCAGACTGCCCAGCCTCTCCTTGAAGCAGATCTTGCCAAAGAAGGAACAGTTTGAAGGGAGGGTTGCATAGAGGTAACGTTGTTTGGACGAGTAATCCAGAAAACCTGATTAGGGGAACTGGGCTCAAATCCCAGTGTGAGGAATTTAAATTTAATTAACAAAATCTGGAATTGACAGCTGGTCCTATTAATGGTGGGCTGGATTATACAGGTTCCAGCCAAATGCAGTTTACACAGTTGGGAGGTGCACATAAAACAGGGTGAGTGCCCAGTCCACCACCTTCCCATCCACTCCCTAGCTGACTCCCACAGTACGGAAGGATAGGAAGATGCTGAAATCAGCAGCCTGCCTGTTATACTTAAATAAATAAATAAGATCAAACAATACTGTTAAAGCTCAATTTGACTCCGATTTCATGCAAACATGTCAGATTTTAAGAGTGTAAGAAGGAACAGAGAGGTGCTATCAATGAAACATGCCCTTTGTGTAAGAGGGACTCCCTGAAGAAGATGGTACATTTCCCCGCCACCACCTTCCTTCCTTCTTCTCTACAAAACCGACCTCTTCAACCTTCAAATTCCCTCTTTCCAAAATGCTCAAACCCTTCCAGCCCAGTGCCCCTGATCAAGCTGACATCAGGAATCCTCTTGGGCCTTCAGGCTTCCCAGGTTACAGTCCTGGAAGCATTCACTACTGAACTCTTGCACTGCTGGAGCAACTAGGCAGTCAGATTGACTGTTAGCTCCATTGGGTGGCATCTCTTCTCACTGAGATGCAGAATCCACTCTGCACCAATTTAACCAGCTGGCAGCGCTTTATGGCTGTGGGTCAGATTTCTTATCAGTCTGTTAGCAAGCCACCAATCTACCTTCTGTTTTAGTCTTTCATGATTGGTGGTTCAGTTCTATAGGTGCCAATTTAATGTAAATCTCTAGATAAGGAGTCACACTGTCTCAGAAGCAAGGATGTCATCATGTGAGATCCTCTCTTTACTTAACAAAACACGCATTGCATGAAGGTACTTACTGACAACAGAGCAGTCAGTTGGGGATTCGGTGGGCGCTGACAGACATTCTCCTGTCTCACTGTCACATTGCCCTTCACAATTGCATCCTGAAGACAAAAAATGTAAGTGAACTTCAGAAATTCCAATTTGTGGATTATGCACTGAAAAAACTGCGGGTGCTGTAAATCAGAAACAAAAACAGAAATTGCTGGAAAAACTCAGCAGGTCTGGCAGCATCTGTGGAGAGAAATCAGACTTAACGTTTTGGGTCAAGTGACCCTTCCTCAGGGTTCTGAGAAAGGATCACTCGAACTGAAACATTAACTCTGATTTCTCTCCACCGATGCTATTAAACCTGCTGAACTTTTCCAGCAACTTCTGTTTTTGTGTCATGGATTATGGACTTTATCAGTTTACTCCAGGAAAAAAAAACATGCACTATCTTTATTCAATAATGCAGTCCAGGATCTCTTCTCGTCTGAGCTATAATAATGCTTACAATTATATGGTACCTTATCAGATCAAGATGTTTCAAAGCGCTTCACAGAAAATGGATTACTTTTGAACTAGTAACAAGGGTATTCACTTTAAATTATCTCCTATCCCTTTTTTTTTTATTTGTTCTGTTGTTTTATTTGGTTGCTATTGTCATTCGTACCTTTCCATTTCTGATAACTTTACTATATTAAACTTACTCTGGCACCCATTTAGTCCATAGTTCCAGAACCCATACAGACACCGGTCACAACGCCTTCCTGTGACTCCAGGTAGGCACCTACATCGTCCACTCAAAGGGTCACAATATTCATCCTTAGAAGCCAGAGCACATTCACATCTCAAACATCCAGAACAACTGCTGTATCCATAGTAACCAATCTGTAAGGAAGGAATACAGTTAAAAAAAATTGAAAATAATAATATGGTAACTGTACCTTGGAATTAATTATGAAGTGGATTTTAATTAAAACAGATTAGCAGTATTCTTGTGCAGGAAACTTCTTGATTCATTCATTTTCTAATTTATGAAGCAAAAAGGCTTTGGGGAAAACTGTGTTTGAGGCCCAAAAATGGGTGGATTCACCCTGATGTACAATTAATCTCCACTTGTCATTCTAATACTGATAGCATAGCAGCTTTGTGTTGCCTATTCATTCACATGATTGAAGAAGACAGCACATCTGAATACTGCGTCTAAAATTATCAGAGACTAACGCCAATTTAAGTCCAAACCTACTAAAGGGAAGGTGTGTTTTTGGTGGATCTGGTATCCATTGGAATTCATTACAGATGTAACTTTGACATGAGTAAGACATAGGAGTAGCACAATATCATAGAGAATGGGTGGCAAGACTCTCCAATACAAGTCCGGAGGACTACATGCTAGACATCAACAGGAGGAAAAAGTTCTTTTACTCCCAAAAGACAAGGAGATTGCAGTCAACCTCTAAGGAGGATAGTTGTACAGGTCAATACCAATGAAGTTTAATGCCCTGACATGAGCAGTTAGTGTAAGTGAATTCCACTAACTGCAATGGTAGCCTCACACATTGCTCATTATATCATATCCCTGTCTTTCTGTCATCCACCAGTCACCTCCATTAATCAGGTTTCGTATACAACATTCATAACTTCACCACACACTTAACATGTTTGCAAGACTCACACCCATAACTCAGAGCCTGCACACACTTGCTGTCATTAAAGCACGACAGCAGCAAACATAGTCAAACATAATGCATCACACTTAACTGACACATTTTCCTCTCCCTTCTCTGCCAATGCAATACAAAATTAAAAGCAGCAGCAGCTTATTGCTGGGGGCAAGGACACACTAATCTATGATCATGCATCAACAGTAGGCTACTCAGTCCTTCAATCCTGCTCCGCCTTTCAATAAAATCATAGCTGATCTGATTTTAACCTCAATTTTAGATTCCTGCATATCCCCGATAATCTTTCATTCTCCTGGTAATCAAGAATCTATCTACTTCTGCCTTAGAAATATTTAAAGGTTCTGCATCCACTCCCTTTTGAGAAAGAGTACTCCAAATAAACAACCCTCAGAGAAAAAAAAAGTTTCCTCATCTCTGTCTGACATCCTGTTATTTTTAAACTCTGATCCCTACCTTAGGAACAGACAGCTGCAGGTTTTTTCTTAATGGAGGTGAATTGACTGCCATTCTTGAAACATCGTGACTGAGGCTGCAACCAACAACAGGGCTGGAAGAATACAAAAATGGTGGCATGCTCCCATTGCGTGCACCTTCCTGCATCTGGATTCCTACTTCATTATTTCAGTTGTGCTGATCCCCAAGCTACACAACAATATGAACATACAGCTCTTGACTTCCCCTCTTATCTTTCCACAAGCTTACCTCTTGTCTCTTCTTCCAAAAACCATCATCTGCCCAGGCAGTTATGCAGGAGTGTGAAGTGGAACAGGCAGAAGAGCTTGAAGATGATACACTATCCACTGGCCTGCTATTCTCAGCCATCAGTTCAGATACTGGCACTATGCATACTTCAGAGGGTAACACTGAGGTAGGGCTGGACATGGTAGGTCAGCCAGGTATCAGTATCATACAGACAGGCAGGAGGAAAGGGCAATGCACATGACAAGCAGTCAGAATGTGAGGTAGTGCATTAGTTCTACAATGACTCCAATGAGGCAGCATATGGGAAGAGATTGCTGGGAAGACATAATGAAATATGCAATGCTTTGGCAGACCTGTCAGAGAGATTTTAGTCACTGTCAAGGGCAATGGAGTTGTCGGGCATTGAGTTGGCATAGGTTTTAGCACAAAATGTAGAGCTCGCCCACCCCAGCACGGGATAAATTGCCAGTTTGAGACATCACTTATGGATCCAATCGTGATCTGGCATTTGATGACCAATGTCTCAGTTTCCATTGCAGCACAATAAGAAAGAACTCAAAATCTGAGAGATACAGAGAAAGCTCAAGCTGAAGTCATGCAAGCTCAGCTTGTTGTCATTTAAGCTCAGACTGCTGCAATCATTGCTACCAGGGCTCAAAGAAACATTCAGGATTTCACAGCAGTGCACCATTCTACCCTCTAAACAATTACGAGGACTGCTGAGCCACCATTCAGGATAAGGAACAATGGCTTCATGTTGTCTATCTTCATGGAGGAAGTTCTAGGATTTTGTTGGTGCAGTGCATATGGCAAATGATTAACATTGCAGCTGCTGTGCACCAACAGTAGAGTGACTGAATGTGTAAGCTGGTGGGTGGGGAATTAAAATCGAGTGGTTGCTAGAAAAGCTCAGCAGGTCTGGCAGCTCCAGTGAAGAGAAATCAAAGTTAACGTTTTGGGTCTGCTGATCCTTCCTCAGAACTTTTTTCAGTTCTGGGGAGGGGTCACCAGACCCAAAACGTTAACTTTGACTTCTCTTCACACATGCTGCCAGACCTGTTGACCTTTTCCAGCAATTTCTGTTTTTGTTTCTGATTTACAGCATCTGTGGTTCTTCCTTTTTTTTTATCAAATCAAGCAGTTTGCTTTGCCTTGAATGGTGTTGAAGTTCTTGAGTGTTGTTCAAACTGTGCGCATCCAGTAAAATGGGGAATATTCCCTCATACTGATGGCTTGTGCCTTGCAAATGATATGCAGGCTTTGGGGAGCTAGGAGGAAATTTTTCTTGTTAGGATGTAAATGGCAGCAGATTAGCGATTTATAAAGACTGTATCTTTTCATTTTTCTGTATTTTAGCTTGTAGACTAAAATGGAAAAAGGACTGCTTTAAAGACAAAGGACTGTGGAAGGGATTACTTACACTCATTCTAACTGTTGTTTACACTGCTGTTCAAGCAATAGGAAGAGGTTTCTGCAGATGAGCTAGAGCCAGGCTCACATTTGAAGGGAGATCCAGCCAGCAACAAGTAGCTGATTGGTCTGTGGAATGGTGACCAGTTATTGATGATAAAGCCTTTTGCCTGCCAACAACTATGTGACTGTGTCCCAGGTAGGTGAACAGCTTGGAAGTGCGAATGATAGGGTCAGGTGCTTTTGGGCCTCCAGAAAGGGAGATACTTCCTTTTTCTCTGCAGTGACAAAACCCAATGTCTGATGAAAGCCAGTTTATTTTCCCTCATCAGTTGCTGCAAGATGCAGCTTTTAACCAGTACATCAGAGACTTTATAAGTTGTGAACCAGTCACTCTGTGTCTTCTGTAAGGAAGTGAAAAATACCTGAAGTAAAGAGAGATCAACAACCAGCAAATCCTGGAAAGCAAAAGGATTATCTCCGCAAATCCTGTGGACAATGGGAACATTGGCATGTCTTCCCAATTTTTCCCTCCAGCCAAAACATCAACATCTTTTGAGTCTATCTGAATGTGTGTAGGGAGAGTTTAGGGAGTGTTAACAAGTTGCTGTTATACGCCAGCAGTTCATACTTGTTCATCTGTAGCTAGAAGCTATTTATGTCTAATAAATAGCAATTTGTGCTATTACAGAAACCTGGGTCTAAAAAGAGAGATAAGTTGGGGAATTTTGTGTATGTTGATAAAATTTCTAACTGTTGTGATGACTGCGGGAGTAACAGGGCTTGATTTCCATTGTGCTACCAGAGTAAGGTGTGACAATTGCTAATGCCATTGAATGTCAAGCAGAGATCCTCAATTCTGTCTTGTTGAAGGTGGTCATTGTCTGACACTTGTGTGGCACAAATGCTATTTGCCACTTATCAGCCCAAACCTGAATGTTGCCCAGCGTTTACTCTATGTGTCATGGACTGTTTCAGAATCTGGAACTTTGTAAATGGTTTTGAACATGGTACAATCATCAGAGAACATCTCCTTTCCTGATCTTTGCTGGAGGGAAGACAGTTTGTTTTTAAACTTGGAAGAGTTCAGAAAAGATTTACAAGGATGTTACCAGGGTTAGAGAGGTTGAGCCTTAGGGAGAGGCTGAATGAAATGGGACCATTTTCCCTGGAGTGTGAGAGGCTGAGGGGTAACCTTGTAGAGGTTTGTAATATCATAAGGGACATGGATAGGGTGAATAGCCAAGGTCTTTTTCCCAGGGTAGGGGAGGCCAAAACTAGATTATATAGGTTTAAGGTGACAGGGGATTCGAACCCAGGTCCCCAGAATGTTATCTGGGTCTCTGGATTAGTCCAGCAATAATACCGCTAGGCCATTGCCTCCCCTGTAAACCACTTTTTTTGTGCTTGAACTAACTCTTTCCACTTTTCCTCCTGATTCCCACTGATACTTTCTCCAAATATCCATTGAGTTCGATTTTGCTTAAGTTCCTTGTTGTCACATTTGGTCAAACACTGCTTGATATCAAAGGCTATAGCTCTCATCTAATGTCTGGAATTCAGCTCCATATTTTTCCACGTTTGGACCAAGACTTTACTGAGGTCTAGAATGGAATAGTGAATAGAACCAAACTGAGAATTGGTGAGCATGTTATTGCTGTGTAAATGCCACTTGATAGCATTATCATTGTCATCCTCTATCATTTTGCTTATGAATGAGTGTGGACCTATGGGATGGTAATTGTTTTGATTGGACTTGTCCTGCCTTTCCAGGTCAGGAAGTACCTGCAATATTTTCCACTGCATTGGCCAGATGTCAGTATTGCATCTGCACTGGAGAAGTATGGTAACGTGTGCAGCTGTTTCTGGGACATAAATCTTCAGTTCAACAGCCATGATGTGTTCACGGTCCATAGCCTTTTCTGTATTCACTATCTATAACAGCCATTTTACATGGACTGAATTGAAATAGTTGAAAACTAGCATTTATGTTGCTGGAGATGTCAGGAGGAGATTTCACGTGGTAATAAGATGTCATTAAGACCTCTTAATTTAAATGCTTTCATCGTAAAATTATGTTTTTTTTCTCAAAATTGGCCATGCTATATTAAAATAGCGAAGCTGCACAATGTAGTCAATACAACATCTGTTGGCAATTCTGTGAGGCTCACACAAGGGATATCCTGGGATAAGTCTAACTGTGTTTCTTACTACATTTCTCCTCACTCTTTCTTTTCAATTTAGTTGTTATAAAAAGCACCAACTAAAAATGAAGTCCTCAGTGTCACCAGCCAACTTTGTTAGGAGGAATGTAAATTTGCAGCCCAAGTAACTTTTATAATCGCACCACATTTAATTGATCTCCCTCCCTCCCCGTTCTCCCATTTGGCTCAATTTATCTTCCCCGCCCTGTGGTCCAGTTTGTATTTGGCTTTGATTCTTTATGCCATGTAGTGGGAAATAACTAGTTTTTCCTAAATATTACCCAAATATTATTTGATACACTCACCTCACACTGGTCACAGAAGGCTCCTGATACTCCTGGCTTACAGCGACATTGCCCAGTAGCATGATCACATTCATCCGTGCCACATTTCTGACAGGGACAGTCTTTTAGAAAGCAAAGATATCTTTTTATTAGTTCCAAGGTTATTTTCGATCTTCACTTGTTAATGCAAAATGGACAAAACTTTGAAAGCTGCATATTCGTGAAATAAAAGCTTTGGTGGTCATAAACAATGGCCCAAAATTTCCTGGATCATTCTAATGCAGAATACTGATTTACCACTGGTCCAGCATTCTACCAGAAAAAGAAATTATGTCATAATTTCCTGCAGGATTATTCTGCCTTCATGGATATGTATACCTAACATAACAGGTACACATAAAATACCACAAACAGGTACGATGTGTAGGCTGCTATCTTCTACTATGGTGTCTTGCTTTCAGAGTGTCTCCTGCCTATCTTCCCCGCTTTCCGCTTATTGTCAGAACTGCTGTGACTCTTAAAGAAGGTCATTCTAACTGCCTAATCCTTCTGAGAATCTCCAAATGGAGTCCACACTTTGAGAAATTTGTGTAAATTGAGACAAACCACCTTTTGATTGAGGTTTGTTCCTGAAATTTAGGGCATAGATTTATGCCAGTGCATAAATATAGGAAACTCATTTGTCATTTCAATGGATCCACATAAATGAACAGCAGAGAGTTTGACAGATGCATCTTGGTTCATAAAGGCTTCATAAACAATTGAGGCAATTTGCTTGCACAAATGTTTCAGCATAAAATCAGTGTAAATCGTTTAAGCACAACTTTCCTTTCATTAAAAAAAACAAGAATAATCTCAGGCATAGCTGAACCAAAGCATTCCATGAAATTTCAGATTATTGTGTATACCACAATGCACATTCAAATCCTATTTTAGATTATTTAGAAATACTTGCATTTATACAACAATTCTCACGTCTCTTAGGATATCCCAAAGCAACCAATAATTAATTCATTTTAATGTGTGGGTGAAGTTGCTATGTAAGAGTCTGTAGCATTTATATTTTACACAAAGTCTCCAAAATCAAAAATGTGTTCAATTTAACAATTATTTTTGGTGATGATGGCACGAAGAACACCAGAAAATTTACTTTTCAAGTAATACAATAGGATCTTTCACGTCCACCTCAATCATTCATAAGCCTCCATTTCATTGAAGTCACAGAAACACCAACAGTGGAGCACTCCTGCAGTAGTGCACTGAAGTGTCATCTTAAATGATGTGCTTAATTCTAGGAGTGGGACTTGAATTCACATTCTACTGCCACAAATGAGTCTAATTAATTTATTTTTCATTCTTTTTAGGATGCGGGCATTGCTGGCAATACCAGCATTTGTTAGCAGCCCTGAATTGTCAAGAAAATGGTAAAAAGCTGCCTTATTGAGCCCTTCTAAGATTTGGAAGGTGCTGTTGAAGGAGGCTAGACAAGTTGAAGCAGTGCATCTTGTACACGGTACAGGTGGCTGCCATTGTGCACTATATGGATGGAGTGCCAAACAAGTAAGCACTTTCTCTTGGATGGTGTTAGGCTTCCTATGTATTGCTGGAGCCTAAGGTTGAGTTTCCTGACTGTGCACTTTCAGACTGCAGTTTTGCCAGGCCAGGGCTGACCCCATCAACAGCATGGAAAACTGATAGGAGAATTCAGCCTTCACCTTTTGAGGAAGGCTCAACTAAGTTTTATGTATATTAGGCAGCTCCTCTAAATTTCTGGGGCCAGCAGCTCTTCTGTGTCAGCAATGGGACTGTAGTTGCTGAGGGTGGGTAATGTCTGCTGATGGATGCCACTGGGACCACAGGTTGCTGGGCACAAATCCCATCTCCACCCCGGAGCCTGCAAACAGCTCACCAGGTTTTACCAGGCAGTCTCAACAGACAGCAAGGGTTCTTCCCTCCAGTGTCGAAAGGAAGGGGGCTTTAACTGGCTGCATTAACGGTTCAGTTGGTGTCTGGATGGGTGGGACCTTCACCTCTCCCCGGCTACTGGCAAAATGCCATGCCTCCAGGAGGATGATGAGTATACCATTCCCTTCCTTCTATAACTTTTGGCAAACCCCAATCTTCAATTCCTATCTGTTCCTGCAGACTCTAAAGTCCTGACATCAGGTGAAGAATTGCATTATTGGTGTTCATTCCCCTGTAAAATGAATGTAAAATGTGATATAAATTTAAAACGCTTGCACAGTCTTGTTTCTATTCCTCAGGAAATTTTAGAATGTTTTCAGAACATTGAATACTTTAGATAAACGTCCACCTGGTTTTCCACTGTAACTGTTATACATATTTGTATAATTGAACCTTTCACTAATGTAATGGAGGAAAGTAAAAAGGATTTATTTTTGATCTTGAGTACATGTGGGAGCATTTCTGGAATTGTGTTCATTATCACAGTGATTAAACATTGTTTACAACAGTAGAAACTGAATTAAACAAAGAGAACAAAGAAGATGTCTTGATCGAGTATGCATGAAATAAATGACATCATCTTCAGAAGTGGCAAACACTGTAAATACTTCACAGCGTATCATATCATATCACATTAATTCTTACAAATACATTTCTGAGATATATCATGGTATAGCCCAGATCGAAAAAGGATTACATAATTTTGTGACTAAGTTTCATCAATAGATATCAAATATGAAATTTGGGAAAATTACAATATATTTCATCTTTCCCTCCACAGAAAGGATTTGGAAATGTTTGAGTCTTAAAGCTATGCACAAAAGATTAAAGACGTAAAAGATGTTTGTAGATAGGTTTTAACTTGATCTTTCATCGACTGTAAAAAGTAAATACTTTATAAACAGTCTGTCTATAATTGATGATTATCTCACATGCATAATGGTGGACTTATTTGTTCTGTTGAACGGTCATTGACCTGAAATGTTAACTGTTTCTCTCCACTGAAGCTGGTGGACTTGCTGAGCATTTTCTGTTTTGATTCTCTGCCTTAAACATTCCCCCAAGTTTATGGATACAGGGGAATAAAAAGATAGGGAGACAAAGTCAATTAGATTTCCAACAGAGCAGCATCAGCAAGCTTTCATCAAACTTGGAACTTACATGCAGGTGGAGTGGCTAGGAATTAAGCTGCTTTGGTCAATTAAGTTGGCCCATTAATGTCAAGAAGCATGAGTTTGTAATATTTTTGTATTGCTGTATATTAATTGAATTCAATTGTCTGTTGCTAGTGTTAATAAAATCCTGTTTCATATCAAAAACTGACTGTTTACATAATGAGCTGAAATCACAGAATAAGTTTTAAAACGATTCAAGTAACCTAAACAACTAGACTTCAGACCAAACCTTCTGACCCAGAGGTAGGGACACTAGAACTGCACAATAAAGCCTTAAGGGATAAATTGTTTTTAATCAACCTGTTCAGATGTACCTCCAGGGAAAGTGCAACTCAAACCCCAAGCTTTTAGTCCACAGGCACAGACAATATCACTGTCATGCAGGATCCTCTGCTTGTTATCAAGATGGCCGAATATTAATATTACTTCACCTGGCAATTTACAAACCATAAGAAAGATTGTCTAGAAGTAGGGGATTAGAGATAAGCAACTTCAACAGAATGTGAATGATCCATTACCTGAACATTAACAAAACATCCAGACACAACCTACGCATTCAGATGGGTATAAACGAAACTATTGAACTCAATCACTTTAAACAATGGATCCCAATTGAGAAGGAGAAGTCTAATGGCCAACTAATCAAATTTCTTTAAACACTGAACCTGGAATGAAGGTTTCCCCTGCTTGTTGTGACTATATTTGGTAATTGGGCAGACTGTGAATGGAGATCATGTGATGCACAAGCTCACACTTTGTGTTTGAAGAAACTGCTTTCCAGGGTCAGTCAGAGACCAGACAGGCCATGTCTAGGTGACAATGTGTAGAAAACCTACAATCTCACTCTGTACAACCATTCTGCAAGTGCATGCCCTGCCTATATTCCGACCAGTTAAACCCTGCAGGCAGTATTTTTAACAAAAACAAGCTGCTGATGCCAGAGGAAAAAGTCACTCATCAACACATTAAATCATCTTGATGGAGCATCCAGAAAGGTCACCCAAACCCAAAAGAACTGTTGAAGTTAGCCATCTGCATATGACTAACTTTCTTTGGGACCCTTCAACAAATTAAGCGAGCTCCTTCCAACTTTGTAATTTATCTGTTGAACATGTCGGAACCTCTTGAATGAACAAGATGTGAATGATGAATGATTTTATTTGTTGTCACATGCGTTTTACAGTGAGAAAAACAGTAAAATACAGTGAAAAGCTTTTCCACTTCACCATGATCCAGTGCAATTTTGAATAGTTTAAGAATAAGAAAAAAATAGAAGGATATAGCTCAAAGAGAGTCCACCAGTCCTGAGCTAGTTCATTATCATCGATCCATGTCAGAGCTGGAGTATTTTTATTACTTTATTAGCTTGGGCGTTAACTACAATAAGTATCATGTCATTTCCTTTTAAAAATTATAGGAAAATCTTTCTGTGTGTATCTTTCCCAGTCACAGCAGAATTGAATATCCACCAAACTGGTAAACAAATTCTTTTTAAAATACCCGTTGCAGTCAAATGAGAACTGGAGCGTTGAGTGATTCTACCATTCCTCACCTAGCTCTAATAAATGTTATGTTTAGGTTTGAAATAAAATTGTTTGTTTATGGTTGAAACAAAATTATTTCATTAAATGTTCATTTGTAGAGGAATAGTTGTTAACACGGGCTAGATTATTTAAATTAACTAGACTAATGTTTTTCCTTGATAATATTTCATCCTTCAATTTGTTTGAATGGGCTATCCATTAGCTTTTGAGAAGAAAAGTGTGCTTGCAGAATTATTTTTTTTTGGGCGTTTGTCCAGCTTGCAATAAATTCATACTTGATTAGAGCTGTAAAGTTAGTGACCAAGTTACAATGGAATCTGAGGCCTCTTTATTGTTTCTGATATAAAAACATAACTTTGTAGCTTCAGTCCCTGGCTATTCACAAAGGGTATGAATAGCCATCATTTTCATACCATGTTTCCATAAAGAAACTTCATTGGATTAAACTACTTGAAGTTCACGAATCTTGCCTCCATCAGAAATTTGAATAAGCATCTTCCAACAAAATGATTAAATATCTATCAGGAATTATTTTTCTAAAGCCTTATTTTTTGAAAGTATGGAATTAGAACATAGAACATAGAACATAGAACATTACAGCGCAGTACAGGCCCTTCGGCCCTCGATGTTGCGCCGACCTGTGAAACCAATCTGAAGCCCATCTAACCTAAACTATTCCATTATCATCCATATGTTTATCCAATGACCATTTAAATGCCCTTAAAGTGGGCGAGTCCACTATTTTTGCAGGCAGGGCATTCCACGCCCTTACTACTCTCTGAGTAAAGAATTAGTAGTCAATGTAGTAAAAAAAACTCTCAAGCACATTTGAGTAATTTTAGATTTTAAGCCTGTAAGAATGTTTATTTTCCTTGTTAAAAAAAATCAGACTGTGATTTCTAATATCATTGTTTTCCCATCTTGGCCACACGTATACACCACTTTTGGTGATAAAGTACACATTAGCAACTCAGAATAAATGAATTTTAATATTTAATGATCATTCTGTTACACTCTGAAGTTCTCCAGCTGCATCTGTAAGTTACTTTGATGACATAACAATTATTTAAATGGATGAACATACCTGTGCAGTTTTTAGCAGTGACAGCATCCCCATAGTACCCTGGTGCACAGTGTTCACAATGGATGCCCGTTGTATTTCTCAGACAATTACGGCAATGCCCAGTTTCCTCATTGCAGTCATCAAATATGAGATTGGGATCAGAATTACCATTGCAGTTACATTTTCTGCAATTACTTCCATACAGCATAGGTGTTCCATAGTAACCAGGAGCACATCTAGAGTAAACAAATATCATTTTAAACCACAATCAATGCATTGTCATGGAAATATTCCTTTCAACCTGCATGGATGTATGACCATGCAGCAATTCAGGATACCAGAAGTAAATAATACATGTACAACATGCACGTGCATAACCTTCTGACAATCAGAAAAGGATTACAGGGTTGATCAGATCAACCATGCAGAGTGAATTGACATTTGAAAGCACATGACACCCAATCCCATGACATATAAGAGTCCCTAGATCAAAACATCTATTCTCCTCTCTTTCTGTCAGACCTGCTGAGTGTCTCCAGATTTTCTGTTCTTGTTTCAGATCTCCAACATCCGCAGTTCTTTGTTTTTAAAGACTGTCATGGCCTACTTTAGCAGAATGTATGGATAAAATGCTTAAAGCCAAAGAATTTCTTTTAACGTAATAGAGAGGACAGAGACATAATTGAGGTGGATATCCTAAAATAACTGTAAAAATAGCATTTCACCATCTGTCTGTCTCGTAAAATGTATTATTGAATGTGAAGTTCCTGTATTTGAAGGTTAAATACAAATCACCTTACCACAGAAAATTAATATCTGTTCATTTTATTCTAAATACCGCTTTAAAAATGTCACAAATGTAATTACACAACCTCTCCATCACTGAAAATTAACTGCAACAATTGCAACTTTTCATACATTTAAATTTTAATCATTGTTGCAACATATTTTTTTAAATGTTAAGTTTATTTTTGTTTCTTGCCATCTTTCTTCTAACTCTCTTAATTCAATCTTTCCTTCTCTCTCTTTATTTTTCTTTCTGGATTTTCCAAATATGACTGACACTTATTCGTTCAGACCTTGCAGTGTTGATTTCACAATCGTCCAAATGAGTTGATTGACCTGCTCACTCAGCTCCCTCGTGTCCTGTAAGCAGTTTTGCAGCTTTTATAAGTCCCCTTTCCAGCAATGTGCGGGACAAAATATTGATAAATTAAATGGGAAAGGCTGGGTCTAACAGCAAGCTCCATATGTAGGCTTGCCATTGCAATTTTTTAGCCAACATATATTTCAGCAGAAACAAGGTAATAAAACATAATGGTCACTATGGCTTAAACTAATGGTAGTTTTTTTTACAGTTGTAATTGATGAACCTTGGCGTTCTGAATCACCCAGTAAAAGAAGGCAGAATATCAGCGATATTCTACAAAAGAGTTGTGACACACTGAAAATGCACTTAGAATCATAGTCACACAGCATAGAAATAGATCCTCCAGTCCAACTCATCCAAGTGACCATGTTCCCAAACTAAACTGGTGCCACTTGCCTGCATTTAGCCCATATCCCTCCAAACCTTTCCTATTTGTGTACTTATCCAAATGTCTTTTAAATGGTGTAACTATACCCGCATCCACCACTTCGTCTGCCAGTTCATTCCACACATGAACCACTCTCTGTGTAAAAAAGTTGCCCCTCTGTGTAAAAAAAGTTAGAAAATTCAGCCATAGTTCCTGAATGCTAGTGGTTTTGCTGGACCATTTCCTAGCTCTGAATATCTGGGTCAGCATGGACGAGTTGGACTGTATCTGTGCTGTACAGCTCTATAACTGTACTGCCGTTCTTATGTCCGAGCTTTTGATGAATCAATGTGAATCTATATGTCAATCTATAATACTCTGATGGGTTAGGGCCTTTAGCATGGCAGTTTTCTGTTCCACCTTTCAAAAAGTCAGGAATGGAATGAATCTCTAGGGCATGGTGGCTCAGTGGTTAGCACTGCTGCCCCACAGCACCAGGAACAAAAGCAGAAGTTGCTAGAAAAGCTCAGCAGGTCTGGCAGCATCTGTGAAGAAAAAAATCAGAGTTAATGTTTCGGGTTTGGTGACCCTTCTTCAGAACTCTTCCACAGCACCAGGGTTCAGTAGCAGCCTCGAGTGACTGTCTGTAGAAATTTGCACATTTTCCCTTTGTCTGTGTGGGTTTCTGCTGGGTACTCTGGTTTCCTACCGTGGTCCAAAGATGCACAAGCTAGGTGGATTAGCCATGGTAAATGTTGGGTTACGGGGATAGGATGGGTCTGGGTGGGATGCAGACTCGACAGGCTGAATGGCCTCTTGCTGCACTGTAGGTATTCTACGTTTTAATACTGCCTTCCCCGCACCCATATGGGTTGGAGATGGGGACTTCTGCCCCTGACTCAGGAGAAAATCATCACCTCAGAAAGCTTCTGACAAATTAGCCCAAGTAGCCCCTGCAGCAGATAGGATTGCAGTTACAAGCAGTCCCAGATGTGGATAAGTACGGGAGTCACGAGGCAGAATAGAGGGAAGTGGGGGCTGCTAATGGGGAGGTTTGGGGGTTGGTGGGATGAGCACATGCATGGAATAGAAGATAGAAAGTTGAAGTTGAAAGTTGAAAGAAAGCAGTTAATACGGATGCCCCCACCCTGCCTAATGTTGTAGCAGGGTCACACTTCTAGCTTCTGTCCATTGCTGACCTTCTCTCACCAGTCAAACAACTAAGGCTGGGTACAGCCCTAAAGTTGTCATTAATTGGTCACTTAAGGCCCTTAATTGAGACAAAGGTGGATGCACAGTCTGAATTCTGACCTGCACTCCCTGTAAAGCTGGGGAAAATTTGGGGTATTCAGGATCCTGATGGAAGGCCATCTGAGGAGCTTAATGCTCCTTCCACCTGCAAACCCTCAGTAGGTGAAGGTCCATTCTGCCAATTGGGTGGGAAGGTATACAGCATTGCTGAAGCATAAATGCTTAAGGGCCATGCGGCCTGTTTCTGTGTTGTCTGCACAATTTCGCAAAGTTAAAATGTTCATCCAAACACTAGACATTCCAGCAAATTGTGTTGGTCTTCCAGACCTGAAAGGATCATTTTCTATCACACACATTTTAATGCAAATGACAAAATTTTAAAAGAGTAACCTTTCACATCTGGGTCCAGCGTAATTTTCCTTACACAAGCAACGTAATTTGTCAGCTTTAATCTTACAGGAAATAGCAAAACTGAAAAATAGAAAGAAGAAACCAACAAAAGTCATTTTATGTTCCTAGCAGTGTTAAAGATTTTTTTTTGCTCGTTTGTTGTATAAGACAATTGTTGTGTTATTGCATAGATTCCACACAAGACCAAACTCTATCTTTAAGACAGTTACAGAAAATTAGAACATGTGACATTCTACTGTAAAGGTACCGGCCTCATTTTCAATCACTCTTTCTGCATAATGGAGGAACAGCAATGTGTGTTCAGTCAGTCAGTTATGTATATGTAATGTAAAGGAACATCAGTTAAAACAGGACCAAGACCGTGTGTAAATCCGTGATATTATGGCAACGTAAACAGTGTTATTAATAAACTTCAAGACATCTTTCTCTAAAAGAGTTCTGTCTTTGTTGTATGTGTTACATGAGCTAAGTATGTGACAGCATTCAGGCCATTTCATTCTGCTAGTAGTGTTGGACCCAAGAAATTACATTAGTAATGATTCTGCAGTATTCATGTCATATTGCCTCCATCTATTCTACTGATGTCACAAACATTCTGTGGGTGGACATCTATTCAATTCACATTGGTCCAGGCTTGACATTATTAAATTCAATGCTGCACTTTTTACTGTGGGCAAGCAGTCTGATTTTACAGTTCTGTACAAAACAAGGACTGATAATTCCTCTGTGTAAACAATCTATTTATAACTCATTTTAACATGAAAAATGAGAATATCTTATTTCATATCCCAGAGTGTACTATTTTCACGTTTTCTATCAGGCACACATTTGCTTTACTTAGAAACACTGTGATACATAAGCTTTGTAATTTGATTGAAAGCTCACTTCAAGGACACAAATGAAATTTCACTGTGCCAAATACATACATTGTCATTCAGCTGAGGCATGGCCACTCTGTCTCACTGATATATATTGTCAAGCAGGCCATGTTTCAGTTTTTAATATTATCCTGTTTAAAAGCCAACTCCTTTCAGTGACAAATTGCTCTAAAGGACTCCAAATGAAGAAGTCACATGATTGCTTCACATATTAATGTTAAATTTTGTTTTTAAACAAGTTTAATAAATACAAAATATTTTCTCAATTAGACCCATGCTTTTTTTTTAATCTTAACATTACATACATTTGTTCTGTGTTGCTTAGTTTTTTTATACAGTTTCCACATTATAAAGCATACAACCATTTCAGGGCTACAGTAAATAGTTCTTGTTTTCTACTTACTTATTTGAAGGTATACTCAGAGGGCAAGGACAAGGCTGGCAAGACTTATGATGACCCTGGACAACATCACCAATATATCCATCAAGACATTTTTCACAGTGATCCCCAGTTGTATTACTCTGACAGTTCTGGAATACAAAGTGATAAATTATTCATGTTTCATCATTTATTGAGTAATAGATTGCAATTGAGTCCCTAATGCAACTGAAGTATTTTTTTCCCTTGCAATATTCATTTTATGTTGACATTTTTAAATCAACATGAGTAAATTATTCATGCCATACCAACAGAATGTCTGATGTATTTGCTGCGCAGGTATCCAGCTTTTAGTTTTATAGTCCCTGCTTCTTAACTAAATTTCTTCCAGTCTTGGTACGGAATCACAGTGTGACCAAAAATCCAAAAAGGTACACAGTTACAAGAAAGAAAATCATTGACACATGTTTAAAGCAGGGAAAACAACATGCATCACAATATAACTATATTCAATTTAAATGGTGGCATGTTGGTCCAAATTATTTAAATAGTCATTTGTTTGAAAACACCATTAAACAAATTTCACTTGTTTCTGATTGTTATGTTACTGTATGGTGATAAGTAACCTGTACCAATATTGATCTGTGAATTGTGTCCTATTCTGATCTTCACTGAGGTATGATTGTCATTATACTACCATTCTAGTGGAAGTTACTAATCATGGTGGGGTCATGTTGATAAAGCACAAAGTATCCCACACCGACCCTTCTCCATCTTCCTGCTATCAATTGCAGTGAGTTAATAATGACGATATAGAGAGAGGTGAGTCTGTTCTCATACTAACGAGCAACTTTATTTTTATTAACTATTACATTCTGTACATGAGTGGGTAGAAGTGGGCATTCTTAGAACTCTGTAGGCTGGGTCCTAGTTCCAAGTGCATCTATTTGTGAGCAATAACAAGACTTACCCATTATCTTATACTTCGTCCAAGTCATTGTTCTATCCCTTTAAATCATTATCATCTAACCAGTTTTATTGTCCTTAATATTGAATTACCAATGCTTTTCCTATGCCCACTTCCCACTATCACCTCCACTATTTCCCTGCCCACCCCTCTAAAATCTCTTTTTCACTCTCTCTTATCCCAAATTGTGGAAGGATGTGACTTCAGTGGTTCACGTTTCTGTTTGTAGGAAAGCAGTCTCTTGAGCAGGCTGGATGTATAATCTGACATGACCATGAACGCTTGCAGCATACTCATCACTGTGCCTGAAGGCACTGGCTTTGAAGAGGTGTCAACACGTGGTACAGTCAAGGGACAAACTCTCAGACCTGAACTGTGCTGAGGCTCCTGGACTGTGGAGCACTGCAGAATGTGAAAGATCCCAGTGATATGCTTCATCTAGAAGACCCTCATCAGAATCTGAAGAAGGTGAACCATCTGTGAATTCTTCAGTATGAGTACAATCAATATAGGACACTGCTGTAGATTGAGGTAGAAACACTGAGGATACAAGAGCAACAATAAAGCCATTTCTGATGTGTTGGCTTGCTTGAAGTCAAAGCAGATACAGGAAAATTGGAATGGACGAACTCCAAAAATTTAACATGATAGTGTGGCATCACCTCAGCACAAACAGGCTCTCTGGTAGGCTGATCTGCTGAAAGTGTTGAAGTCAAAGAAGGTTATAAGCTAACAGAAGAATTTGATCGTTCTATAACTATCGTTGTAGTGTTCTGACTTTCAGAATGATTTGTTAACAAATGAGATAATGAATCCTTGGAAACGTATTGGAGTATACTGGTTCTTAATATATTGAGAGAATTGGAAGATTGCTCTCTGCATTCAGGCACCTGGTAGGTAAGGATGGTAGGAAGGATGTTTGCAGTGGGCATTGGTACATTGTCAGGAAGGATTTTCTGCACATGCTGCTGTAGCTGCAGGTAGGACATCCTGGAAGGCCCACTCAAAATGAGCGGGGATACCCAATTGTGGTTGCAGTTGAACAACATTGAAGTGTTGAGTGGGACTGTGGGACAGAGGCACAGCTGCATTGTGTAGCCAGTGAAGGGGTGTTGTCAAAAGAGACAGAGACTGCTTGACATTTGTCAGTCTGTGTTGTATTCAAAGAACATGGCTAAATCCAGGGGCTCTCTTTCCATCAAATCAACAATGGTGACAGCTTCGTTTTCTCGTGCTCCGTTGTCAAAGAGTAAGACAGGCATGATCTAACACAGCTTCTTGACTGGGCACCTTCATGCCTAATGCACCCGTATTCTACAGGGTGTAGCCTGTCCTGAGAAGGGAATGAAAGATCCATAAATTTCACTTCCGGTCCTTTGAATACAGTGGCATCAAACAAGAGAAGGTCATAGTCATTGCCTGTTCTTGAATAAAGAATATTCAATCCGTGACAAGCTTCTCCATTCAGTAAAGAATATGTTGATTAGAAATGACATGCAGAATGACTGTGAACTCGCATTCATTACAACAAAGTCAAAGCTTTTCATCTTGCACTCATCAGGACTGAAACACAATAAGAAAAGCGTCGGTCATGGACCTGTTGTGCCTGTAGACAAATAGCAAAGATTTAAGGCAATTTTGTAGGCTGCAGTTGATGTGAGCCATGACTAACCTCTCATGCACTTCATAATCATGGAGGTCAGAGCCACCAGGCGGTAGTCACTGAGGCACGTTGCATGATTTTTCTTTAGCACCAGCATGATGATGGTCTTATTGAAGTAGGTGGGAATTTCAAGTCGTAATAAGGAGAAGTTAAAGATGGCTGTGAATACTCCCACCAGCTGGTTTGCACAGAACCTGAGTGCACAGCTAAGGGTTCCATGCTTTGCGTGGGTTCACTCTCGAGAAGGCCGATCTATTATCTGCAGCGGTGACCATAGGTACATATGTATCCAAGGCCATTGGAATAGGTGACGTTGTCTTACTGGCCTTCTGTTCAAAGTGAGCATAGGATAATTGTGCGTATTGGGCATGGATATACTGTTGCCTGTGACTGAGCTACACTACTAACATTGTCCCCTCTTTCTTGCAGAATAAAATGGAACATAATATAAGCACAGAGAGCGGAACTAGGTATGATGTTGGTACAGCTAGGAATGTCAGTGCAGCCACCATTCACAAAAGGATATGCCATGCGAGTCATAAAGGCTGCAGTAAGCCCCAACGAAGTATCACAGTGCCTGTACAGTGCCACTTCGCTTCCAACTCCCTGTAACTCTAGCATGGAATAAAGATATCCAGATCAGAGTTGTTTCTGTACTTTTGTGTAGTCCTTCCCACCTTTTCCCCAGAAATAAGTGCTGTTAACTGATTGATGGAAAGCACACCAAGATTCCATGCTCCAATGAGCAATTCAATATCAAACCTACAGTTATATTTAGTTCCTTGCATATAGATATGCTGCATTGTTAAAAAATCTCTCCCGTGAACTGCATGTAACAGTAAAGGATGTTAAAACTTTGGAATTAAAAATATATACCTTACAACAAAAGGAGATGTGAGGAGCAAGTCTTTTTAGTCGGAGTGGTAGGAGTCTGGAATATGTTGCCAGGGGTAGTAGCGAAGGCAGATACAATAGAGGCGTTTAAGAGACTTTTAGATAAGCACATGAATATACAAGGAATGGAGGGATACGGACCAAAGGCAGGCAGAAGGAATTGGTTTAATTTGGCATCATGTTCAGCACAACATCGTGGGCTAAAAGGCTAGCTCCTGTGCTGTATGTTTTTATGTTCTATGTTTAACAAGCTTTTATGTCTGTGAGGATAATGCAGGCGAGAAAGACAGATTTGTACAACTGATCTGCTACAGATCCATGCTGCCCCAAGGGGAATTCTGTTGCCAATTATTCAGGATAATGTGAATCTCGAATGACATCATCATTGATCGTAAAAAAAAATATACAAAAAAGCAAAGAGTAGTGGGAAACTAGTAAACTGGGAAATCTTTAAAGGCCAACAGAAAGCCACAAAAAAAGTTATAAAGAAATGTAAGATAGATTATGAGAGTAAACTAGCTCAGAATATAAAAACAGACAGCAAAAGTTTCTATAAATATGTAAATTGTAAAAGAGTGGCAAAGGTAAACATTGGTCCTTTAGAGGATGAGAAGGCCAATTTAATAACTGGGCATGAGGAAATAGCCGAGACATTAAACAGTTATTTCGTGTCGGTCTTCACAGTGGAATATACAAACAACATGCCGAAAACAAATGGCAAGAAGGTTATAGCAGGCGAGAACCTAGAAACTATCATTATCACTAAGGAGGCAGTGCTGGGCAAGCTAATGGGGCTAAAGGTAGACAAGTCTCCTGGCCCTGATGAAATGCATCCCAGAGTACTAAAAGAGGTGATGGGGGAAATAGCAAATGCACTAGTAATTATTTACCAAAATTCACTGGACTCTGGGGTGCTTCCCGCAGATTGGAAAACAGCCAATGTGACGCCACTGTTTAAAAAAGGAAGTAGACAAAAAGCAGGTAACTATAGGCCAGTTAGCTTAACTTCGGTAGTGGGGAAAATGCTTGAATCTATCATTAAGTAAGAAATAGCAAGACATCTGGATATAATCTGTCCCACTGGAAACACCCAGGGTAGGTCATGTTTAACTAATTTGGTGGAATTCTTTGAGGACATTACTTGCATGGTGGACAATGGGGAACCTGTGGATGTGGTGTATCTGGATTTCCAGAAGGCATTTGACAAGGTGCCACACCAAATGCTGCTACATAAGATAAAGTTGCACAGTATTACAGGTAATGTATTGGCATGGATAGAGGATTGGTTGACCAGTAGAAAGCAAAGAGTAGGGGTAAATGGGTGTTTTTCTGGTTGGCGGTCAGTGGCTAGTGGTGTGCCTCAGGGATCAGTGTTGGGACCTCAGTTGTTTACAATTTACATAGATGATTTGGAGTTGGGGACTAAGTGAGGTGTGTCAAAATTTGCAGAGTGGTAGAGCAAAGTGTGCAGAAGACACTGAAAGTCTACAGAGGGATACAGATAGTCTAAGTGAGTGGGCAAAGGTCTGGCATATGGAGTACAATGTTGATAAGTGTGAGGTCATCCATTTTGGTAGGAATAACAGGAAAATGGACTATGTTTTAAATGGTAAAAAATTGCAGCACGC